TAGCTGTTACTATGGCACCCTACCGTTCTTGCTAGTAAATCTTAAAGTCTCTTAAAATACTGTCGTGGATGTTTTTGTTCATTAAAGTATGATTTTTTTATTTTGAATTTTCACATATGTCTAATTAATTGCAGCCTGATTTTTTATACCTGAGATTAGCGCATTCACACAAACAAACTCTTCAGTTTTATATATAAGTAGTAGAGGAGTATAGATTATATTATGCCATTATATTGTAGTGCAGTGGCTCTACTCATACTACTGTGCTGATACTCACTTTGCCTTAGTTAATCCATTTGCGAAGAGGTAGCATACGCCAGAGACAATGCCTGCAAGGAGTCCCAAGCTAACACCAGTAGAAAGAGATAGTGTGTCAGGCATTGTTAGGGTCTGCTTCTGTTATCCTTGTAGACTCCTCTCTCACTTCATATTGAGCTAAAGTTCTTCGCTCATGATTTCCTTTTGTTGACAGGGATCTGTAAAGGAAACATAATTTTAATGGGATTAATAAAGAATAAAGTAATTATGCTCAGGTAAGTATAGTCTGTAGTTCATCTTTAAATAAAACATTTTTAACTGTATAAAACGCGAAATGTATTAGTTACAATCTATTGTAACTGCGCCTTGGTGTCTCTAATGTCAAAATGCTGCAGATGGCGCTAGCGTAGCGTAGCTTTAACATTTATAGGTGTTTAATTTAAATATGTTTAAGTATCTAATTTACTAATAAGTAATGTTAATTATCGTTAGAAGACAAATATTATCCATTGTTTCTAAGTTAAAATAATTACTTCGTAATATTTACTTCAGCAAACTTGTCCATGACAGAATTTTATAACGCTCTCAAAGAAAATAGCTACAATCTGTCGTTAGTTATGTAGTATAGTACACGTTTAAGTAATTTTCATTTAAATTTAACTAAAACATATCGTGTTTTAAACCGTTAAAGTGTTAGTTAAATACTAAGCTACAGCTGAAGAATGACATGTCATGCCTTCTAAGTTTACACACAGGTGTTGTATAATGGTCACTGGCCGCTCCCCAGTAAAACCCTTTTACTTTCATTTTAGAGAGTTTTATTTACGCATGTTCTTAGTAATTATTATCAATCATCGATACACATAGCGAAAGAATAATCCAGATCTTACAAATAAGTTGCAATTGGAAACAATTTTACAGAATTTAAACATGACGAAAGTCATAGTCAAAGTTAGCTCTCTAAATGTTTAGTATGGTTTGGTATTAAAACAACATCATTGTGAAATTGAGTGAAACATTGATAGATTAAATTAAGGAATACGTTAAAAATGTTATTCTGCACTCTGAACTTTCTAATGTGTTCTAACTTTTTAAAGAAGATAAGAATAGGTGGACTCTAATGATTAAGGTGCGTTGTCCACCCATTTCTTCCTCTGGATATTCGGTATATATTTTCGAAGGTTTGATTTTGAATACAGCATCATTTAAAAGTATTTCAATGTAAGTACTGCAAAGATGCAGATTTATGTATAATCTTGTAACGAAATCACCGAATCAAAGGTGCAACATGAGAATCTCCCACGACATCCGTTACATTGTAATCTTTATTGTGGTGCTTATCTACTGAAATGCTGGCTCTATGCAATTTCCTATGGGAACTAAGTCCTGATCATAATGCTTGGAATTGCATCTGAATACAGGCGTTAGTTATCTTTCTATCACCTCCATGACCAAATGTTTCAATGCCTAGCAAGTTAAGCGCGAGAAGTCTGGGATTTTGGCAAAACATTTGAATTGGGTCTTTAAGTATTAAATTCTATGTAGTGATATTAAGAAAAGAAGTTTTTATATTTTTTTTTTCCCCCTAAATTTTAAAAAATTTAAAAACCCCAAAGCACATAACCAAGGATTTAAGTTAGACCACGATTAGCACTCAGTTTTAGATAAAGTTGCCCGAAAAGCCCCCAATGGCCCCAGGGGAATTTTTAGTATTTTTTGGGTGGGGGGGGGGGGAAGGGGGGGGAAAGGGGGGGGGTGTTGGCCCCCCCCGCCAGTAGGACTCTCTTAAACCCAGATTCCGGTCACAACTCCGAAACTTTACAACTTGCAGTCGCAGCATCCTCACGATTGAATCTATGGTTGAGTTTAGATCTTTTGTATTGCAACTGAATGGTGAATTATAATTAAAGTCGATCAAGCATGTGAAGATGGAGCCTATTATTAAGTAATTTGATATATTCGAAAAGCTACGCGACGAAAACTACTACAACTAAAGTCTAATATGTTTTGAATCAATTTATAATTTTTCTGAAACATGTTAGCACTTCGTCTGGAAATCTGGCTATTAAAAGGGTGGTAGGAATATTGAAATTCCGTCCAGGTCATGGACCACATATATATATGTGTATAGGTGAAAAATCCGTTAAGTTAAAAGTTGGTCTATGGACTTTTGAATATCCAAAGCCAAAATAGGTCGACAGCAGGGTGTTCCACATACCATCAAGTGACCTGAACTTCACGCTTGTCTGTCTTCCTCTATCATGAAATAAAACGACACATAGTAAACTGAATTTATCTCAGAAGTACCTCACATTACCTGATAACCCATACAAATAAAGATTATAGGAGTACAAAGATTGCAGGTATTTAAAATTTCATAAAAGGGCTTTATAATCAGATAACATTCTTGGCCCAAATTGCTTAATTTTTTTGGATTCGAGATGTTTCTATTTTCTTGACTCTAACCGAATTAATAGTATAACATGACTTGTATTGAAACTATTAAGTGTTTCTATTTCAGATATAAATATATGATAAGCTGCTAATTTATTTATTTACCCAAAAAGTTTTTATTCAAAATGCATTACATTCACATTACCATTATACATACCTATATGTGTACATGTAAATTACAAGTACACATATAGGTATATTATTATATTTACGTCTTACGAAAAAGTGTTTAATGCTTTTAGAAGTTATATGATCCTGTAGCTAATTCTGTAGCAAATTCCTTACTTTACTATGACAGTGTCATATCAGTTTTGAAAAGGAATTAATTTTTCTATATTTTGTTTATATATTTAATTTTTACTTACCATATAATGGCTACTGGGTTGCTGTTTCAATGTTTATTGGGAATGCAATGCAAAGACTTTGCAATGGTCGCAGCAGATCAGAATAATTGTTGTCACTGAGTATTCTTGTTGTAAAGGATGGTGAGCTATTTTTTTTTAAACGGGCTCAATGAGATCCTAAACTCTGTATCTATAAGGCGTCGTATTTAGACAGTTGATTTCTATACACTTTGTATTTTAATAAATTGATCGATTTATTGCGCGTGAGGCCTATATATAGGTTAAAAAATCGCCGACGACGTGTAGGACACGGTAGCTCAATTGGTTAGAGCAACGGCACGGAACGCTGTTGATGACGGTTTAAGTCCCGCCCTAGTCGTAATTGTTTTTCCATTTATAATCGACTAGCTGTGCCCGCGATTTCGTCCGCGTGGAATAGTGACTTGGGGTAGAATTTTTAATTATTTAGGCTGTTTATTAAGTTATGTAAAGGCGCATTTAAGGAAGCCAATCTATGTTGTAAGTGTTACTTTGCCGCAACACTCTCACCTCACATCACTCCTACTCTAACTCCCACTCTCATTCCCATTCCTATTCCCAAAAAGCATAAGAAAAAAGTTTCATTGTTCTAGCTTCAAAACACACGAATTTCCATACAAACTTTATTCTTCTTTTTCTAAACCTATCAACCCTTTGTTGGCTTTTAAAAGTACCTTGTTTGATATCTCAGACTTTAAAATATCTGTTTACCAAATTTCATATAAATCAGTTCAGTAGATTCGGAGTTAAAGCCGGATAGACAGACAGACAGAGTTACTTTCGCATCTATAATATTAAGTATAGATTTGTAATTTAAATTTCTTTTTGTTATCGCCATTATGCAAACAGATACTTCAAAAGATGCGTCAGTACGACTCGCACTTGGCCTTTTTAAAATTAAGACATACTTTTGTACATCGTATAAAATATAAGAGTATTTTAAAAATATGAAGTACTAGGGTTTTTATTTAAGTCATTTGTCTTTTTTCATCTTAGGGATCACATGATACTAAGTATAGGTAAGTACGAACGAATAAATTGGCATTCCACAGTAATCTTAACAGTTAAGCAGTAAATTAGCATAAGACACGATGGTATTATGACTTCGCATGTAGATAAGTACTTTCGAGAAGAACGATCAAATTGTCAGTCAACCAGAAGGCTTCAAAGTCGTGATAATAGCTAGTTATCTCGTTATAATTACAAATTGTACATATCACTGCGATGAAACTGACCTAGAATCTGATAGTAATGTAGGTAACGGGGTATGAGTATTGTAATGCAAGGAAAAATCGTCGACAGGATTATACCCCCGTGACCACGGCTGCTGCAATCGAAACGTCGGCCCGTAGTTAAAATAATTTTAAACTAGTTTAACTAATATATATATATCGCGTTTTAAACCGTTCACGTGTTTTATTGAAAAGATTATGTATGTGTATTCCACTTTAACGTATAAAATGCTAAATCGATTTTAATCTAGGAGTCGTATCAAACAATTCGTTATTACAGGGCTTGTGTGAATGGCGCAGACACATTTCAGTGGCTGTGTTATTGAGGAAAATGTGAGATGGTTGCGGACGTTTTTTCGATTGTTATTTATTATTGAAAAAATGCAAATTGATTAGAAACATGTTCCCGGTGGAGATCGAATCCACGATATAGCACATTTTTTTATCATTACACTAACGAGTGAATTACTAATTTCTAAATTTAAAAGTCAACTGTTTGTGTATTATATATTTCATCAGCCAAATGTAGCCCAATTATACGTATGACTTTCATCTTCAACTCTCAGTAAATACATTTCACTTTTCTTGACAGACGAAATTAAATTATGTACCATTTTACATCTTTAACGGCAATAATGGTACGATTAGCATTTCAACGTGTACTTAGGTAAAGATGAAAGTATGTAAGATAGTAAAATTATAGGTGAAACATTATCATAACATTTTGAAAATGACAACAAGGAGCATTCATTATCCGATATGTATGGATAAGAAGGAGTCCACAGCTCCACTTGGTCCTTCTTTTTAATCTATTTATAATTTTTTGAAATATGTTGGACTTCGCCTGGAAATCTGGTTATTAAATGGGTGATAGGACCACTCGAAACTTCCCTCCGTTCACGTCCACAGGTGAAAATGCCGTCAAATTTAATCGCGCTTCGGTTTTAGTCTGTGCATTCCCGAATATCCGAAGCCGAAATAGCTCGACAGCGCATCATGTTTAGATGTTATACGGCTATGTTTGCTATAACCTCTTCTAAAAATTACTTTTAGTTTTTTTAAAGTTTTTAAAAATTTACAGAGCATTTTAAACGGAACGGTTTAAAACGCGATATTTTAGTTGAACTTTTTTGAAAATCATTTTTAACTTCGACCCGACGTTTCGTGTATCCGTGACCACGGCTGCAAGCAACCGAAACGTCGGGCTGAAGTTAAAAATCAAATAAAATAAGTGTAACTAATATATCGCGTTTTAAACCGTTAAAGGGTTTTATTTAAATGTGTACTACTCGCGTAAACTATAGACAGTGTTCACAGAGCATATCAATTGGACTGTTTACCACTGGATTAAGTAGTATCCAATTTTCATCAAATAGTATCAGTTTTAGCAGAAGAAACCGAATATTTTACACACATCGCTAACAGTGTTATAGATTACCAGTACCTAAAAGGGTTATAGAACGCATAATTGCATTTATATAGTATCTAGTCAGGTTGAATAACTAAGTGCGCGTGAGAGTTTTTAGTTAAACGTGACCGATCAGAATGCGTTTAAGCATCGTTATATAAAGATAAACTAAATAGTGTGTTTATCGTTCGTTCTATTGTGCCAGATATCACATGTGACCAATTTCGCGATTAACATTCGAGCAATAATGCGTTTGTTCTCAATTTAGCCAAAGAGCTGTTCTTGGGGTAAATTAAACTGTTACTAAAACCCGTGCTTTTAATTGTATTACTAAACTGCATAGTTTATGCCAGTAGTACATATTTAAATGAACCATTTTAATGGTGTGTGACACGAAATATATTAGTAAAAGTGTTTTATTTAAAAGTCCAAATACTTCTGAAACTTCGTTATCTATAAAAAATCGATAGTACTGTACAATACCAATGTGTAGAAATTCTGCTTTCTATATACGAAATATGTTTACCTCGTTCTTTTATTGTTTGGTTTTAAAATACTTCTTACTGATTATCCGTAGCTTCCGCCAGTAGTGCACATTTAAATAAAACAAAACTGTGTAAAACGCGAAATATATTATTTAATTTTAATTAATTTCAAGGATGACCCGACGTTTCAGTTGCTGCAAAGCGTTCATGGGTCAAGTGGGCGGGAGAAACTGGGACTTCTAGGTAACGTCAGGTCCTAGTTAAAATAAGTTAACTGATTTAGTTCGCTCTTTAAACCGTTAAAAGTGTTTTATTTTAATCATTTATCTACATACGCTAATTTTAAATAATTCTGCCGATAGGCCGAATCGTTATCTTTATCAATAGCTTATGTATTATTTCGCAATCAGATGAAGACAAGCTAATGAAGATATCTGACAATTTGCTGATGGGGGTGAACGGTGACACGGGAGACATAGCACAGTTCAGCCAGTTCATATCCAAGAACCTCAAGCTATATTCCGTGAGAAACGGATATCAACTCGACACAAAAGCAGCTGTGCATTTTACAAGGACCAATATGGCTGACATTTTGCGAAAAGGGGTATTTTATGTGTTAACAATCCTACTAATATTATGAACGTGAAAGTCTCCTTACCTTTTCCTTTCCTCTCATTTAAAATATTTTCAAGCGGTTTTTTTTCAAATGCGACTCCAAAAATATTTATGTCATAATGTTAGTTCTTTTCTATGCCACGCTAATATAAGTAATTCCAAATACTAATCCTGCGTAGACGAAGTCGCGGGCACCAGCTAGTCGATTTTAAATTACCTTGATTGGAGCAATAGCACGGCAACCTGTGGATGCCGGTCCAAGACCTGTCAGTGTCGTAATTTTTAATTTATATAGTGCCATTATGTGCAATAACATGTGATAGTATTAAAGTATTGTATTTGTTCCAAAACGAGAACAAAGCGAAATTAAATATACGTGCTAACTTAATTACTTTATACACTAGTAAAAATTTTAAGAGAAGCTAAAGTTTTCTTGAAAACCAGAGAGCTTCAATACGGCCTTAATATTATGATTCACATGTTAGCAATAATAAAAATTAAATATCGTTCCGTTGGATGCCAATTTAAGTCAAGCCCGTGTTCTAATTTTTTTATCTAATTTACAGAATCCATACGTATTGAACTTACTTCTAGCTGGTTATGACGAAAAAGAAGGTGGACAACTGTACACAATGGATTTTCTTGCTTCTTGTGTGAGGTTACCTTTTGCTGCTCATGGCTTTGGTGGTCTTATGAGTGTGAGCATTCTGAATCATTACTATAAGCCAAGTAAGTTTATATCCGGTACCATACAATTTTAATAAGGTTAATATAGAGAGTTTAATGATTACAAAACTCAAGCAGATTCTGCATGGGAAATGCAGTCCACTGTTTTGTCTGCATAAATATGAACGAACTAATAAAACTCACGAAACACGATTCAGCCCTTTTACATATAAAATCGTTGATACCTTTCTCTATTGAAATTAAAGACGTATTTTTTCCTCCTACGGTAGATCTGACTGAGGTGGAAGCCTATGAGATAATCAAGCTTTGCGTTAAGGAAATACATCGACGGTTGTTCATGAATCTACCCAATTTTGGAGTGAAAACTGTCTCCAAAGATGGTGTCAAAACGTTACCCACAATCAGCCAAGCTTCCTTTGTGGGAAAGTAATCATAGAAATCACTTTATGATTACGTTATTAATTGTACTTAATGTTACACTTTTTGTTATGACTGTACTTTGACTGATACAGTTAACACCTGAAGTCAAATCCAACGACTCGTGGTCATAGTGGTGAATTATCTTATACAATGTATTCATTTTGTTTATAGTTTTTAAATGTAAATAAATAACTCCCAGATATTACGGATTACGGTTTTAATTTCTTGGTTAATATTGAGTTCGCTTATTAGTTTATTATTTTACAAGTAGTACACATTTAAATGAAACACTTCAACGGTTTAAAACGCGATATATATTAGCTAATTATACTTAAATTTCAAATAAGTTTAATTAATATATATCGCGTTTTAATCCGTTAAAGTGTTGATTAGCAAAATGTCTTAGCTATTTTTATTTTGTCATTGTATGTTATATTGAAACATCACATGTTTCTCTGAGACTATAGTACTCGTGTATGTAATAACTAACGAAACCGCAAATATACGCAGAGGTGTCATAGAGTCTAAGGTGATAAGTGTTGACGCGTTGAGAATTTATTATCACTCCTTGCTTCACTATCTAAGGCTCCGTAGATAACTATTTAAAACATATTCTATGAGATTATAAAACTCTATTTAGACTATGACGTGATGTCTGCACGATTATTTAAAAGTTATGTACATATATATTTTTTATTATAGCGAAGGACAGACAAGCACCGGGCCCACTTGATGGGATGTGTACCCCAGCCACATAACATCTACTTATATTCGGGAAGCCACAGACTGAAAGAGAAACGAGATTAAACTTCACGGATTTGTCGTCTGTGGACGGTTGACGTGATCCTGCCGGAATTTCGATATTTATATGCAGATTTCTAGACGAAGTCACGACACGTTGATAATTAGCCATACATTACTACCATTAGACTAAATATGTGTTCCACTGGTAGGTTTTGTAGTAGTTACTACTTCCATAGTCCGGATTTGTACCTACTAGATGATTTCTAACTACCGAACTAACATTTGACCCAATGCGATTTCAGTGACATAAATATGCATAAGTATGAGTGTACAACACTTTAACGGTTTAAAGTCGCGATTTATTTTATTCTTGGAACTTCTTTGGAAATTATTTTCCATGACCATAGCTGCCGCAAATCACACGAAATGTCGGGCCGTAGTTAAAATGATTTCCCGATACGTTTTTTAAACATAATTAGATACTTTAATATCTAATAATCTCGAATCCACGAAAGAAAGTCTAGTTTAGTTATGTAATATTAATTATAATATATTTTAAAATGAGTCAATGATTTAAGATATCATTAATAATACAATTTTGTATGATAATATTTGCAAATTGTGTATAATTTAGTTTGTAGAATTAGATATTGATGAATGTAGAATTAATTAAAAATTTCAAAGAAATTTAAATAAGATTTCTGATTCGTGAAGAAGAGAATATATTTGTATAAGAAATTACTGTACAGGATGTCAACCCCACGGTGTAAATGTAATTAAACTTGTAACAATAACCACACCAAACAGTTACACCCTAAATATATGATTGTATGTGTGGTAGTTTAATTAAATGTCTTGTTTTCAAATAAACATACGTTTCAGTTCTGTTTCGTATACGGGGGCATAGGCGGTTTTTGGTGTGACTCCGTTTTACTCTGGCAAGGTATAATAGTTCTGTGCCCAAGTTGACCGAAATTCTTCTGTGCTCAACGAATGCTATGCAACGTTTACCCATTGAAGCACGGAAGCGGCCAAAGAGAAATAACAGTGCTTTAAAACGTTTGTCTGAATTAAACCTTTTAAATAAAACACTCTCGGTTTAAAACGTGATATATGTTAAACTTATTTGAAAATGTTTTTAACTATGGCCCTACGTTTTGGAGGATTGACAGAAGCATTCTCCCCGTGACCACAGCTTCAAATAAGTTTAACTAATATACTCGCGTAATACTACAGACAATATTTAAATTAAACCTATCTAAATACTGTCTATAGTTTACGCGAGTAGTACACATTTAAATAAAACACTTTAACGGTTAAAAACGCGATATATTAAACTTATTTGAAAAAGATTTTTAACTTCAGGCCGACGTTTCGGATGCTTTGCAGCAGCCGTCTTCCCGTGACCACGGCTGCTGCAAAGCATCCGAAACTAATATATCGCGATTTAAACCGTTAAAGTGTTTCATTTAAATTAAACCTTTCTTCTAAATCTCCTATCTTAGTTTTTCTAAAATAGCAATTTGCTGTTTTCTTTAGTAAGTTCTTAACATGCAAATAATTTCAATTAGGTAATTCCGGATATTGGCGAACGCTTGTTTGAAGATACTTTCGAACGTGTTTTAAATCGATTACAAAATATATCCGATCTCTTATCTGTTTAGAATTTTAGAGCAGACAATGCTTATGTCAGGTATAGAGCCTATCTGAAGTTTTACCTATGCTCAAGCAAACAACTTCATCTTTGGCCTAACTTTCCCTACAAAACAGTAGTTTGCAAAAGTTCAATATTAACGTAGACTTTGTCTTGACGTCTTTTTCTAGATTAAAGTTAAACGAAAAATACGAAGCGGGCGGGACTTGAACCGGCATCAATATCTTTACCAATTGAGCTACTACACGCATATCTACTAGCATACAATGCTTTCGAGTGAGAATTTAGGTGTGATTTGGTTTTTTTTACGAGCACATTGAGATCAGTGTCATAGTTATAACCTGTCTCTATCTTTACGCTACACACAAACGACCATCAAGGCAAGATTACATTAAACGTTGCAATATTTGTTTGAGACGATTGTAGTTAAAATTATTAAATTAATAAAATGTCCTACTTTTTAATTCTTTTCTATTCAACCCTTATTAGCTTCGGCCTTGAACCAAATAGATACTCGGTTTCCGTCAAAAATCGATGTCGGTAGCACAATCCTTAATTTGAAGAGACGAGATTTTGCTGTTATGGTACAAATTCAACGGGATAATTAAGTCTTGTAGTTGTTTATCTATTCCTTGTATTATCACTTTCTGTAGAATAAATAATCATAAATTTATAAGTCCCTCGTATGCCATTTTAGGTAAAACTTTTATTTCCGATTGGCACAGGCAAACGTGAAATATGAGGTCACTCACCTCTGTTAATTGACAAATAGCACTATTATTTTGATAATTAAGCTGAATTAGTCATGTAGTTTAAATAAAGCTAAAATATACCTTGGGCTATTATTTATGTTACCAACATTATTTTTTTCAAATGGCGGGAACAAAACGTGGACAAATCACCTTGATATATTAATATTAGAAATGTCTTAGTTTGAATACGAGAGCGAGGCATTGTCATATATATAAATAAGGCAATAATTACTATTTGTTCTGAACACTACAACGAAACGTTAAACTTCAAGGTTGAGAGGAAAATTCTGTAATTTTTTATTGCCAGGTACTGGGTTTCAATATAAGTAACAAACGATTAAGGCATTAATTTTTTTATTATTCATACTTAGATTTAGTACAAAGCATTGTCTTATAATAAGATGTATAGTACCTAATCTCTGGTCAAACACTTTAGAAAATGACAATCACATTAGTTTCCTTTTTTTTTTGATTCAATTTGGGTTACAAAACAAGAGTGCATTTCTACTTTTTCTTAGCTACTCTTTCTGAAGAAATATCAAATTCTGGATCTTGTAGATTTAACATCAGGCTATCACCAGATATGAAAACTCTATTCTGAGACTGAGCTACTATTCTAGACACATTTTGAGCAGCTCTTATTTTCCTCAGCTTTAAATATCCAGGATTCATTGAGACGGCCTTTCCTAACATTTCAGCGGCTTCAGCTTCTCCTTCAGCTTGAACGATCTTTTGCTGGCGTTCTTGCTTCGCCCGCTCAACGACAAACGAAGCTCTTTGAGCAGCTTGTTGCGCTATTTGTTTGGCTTCTACAGCGGCGGAATATTCTTTTCCAAAGCTCATATCTGTCAATGAAACATCGTCCAAAATGATGTTGAATTCAGCGGCTCTCGCTGCTAATTCCCTTCGGATAAGCAACGATACCTGATGACGTTGAGTGATAAGTTGAGAAGCGTTGAATTTGGCGACGACAGATTTTAAAACTTCATGGCAGATAGACGGTAGCACTCTGTCATCAAAATCGGTTCCCAAGGTCCTGTACATCGTTGGTAAACTCTTATCGTCGGGCCGTGATAGTACTCTTAAAGAGATGTTCACCATTTGCAAATCTTTCGAACCGGTGGGCGAAGATATCTTGTGGGGTCTCGATCTTATGTCGTAAATGATTGGGTATTGGAACCACGGTATCCGAAAGTGCATACCTTCTGTTAGAATGTCAGGCTGTACTCCACCAATTCTATTGAATATGATGGCGCGATGGCCTCCATCTACGTTATACACAGCTTGGGACAAACCGTACACTGTGGTGCCGATTACAGCCGCTGCTTTTATTCCTTTAGCGATGCCTGGTCCGCCAAATCTCGAAGCCATATCGTTGATCCTATTTTGTGCCATTTGTCACTTTAAACACTACACTAGAGCGAGAAATTTACATGAAAAATTCCGTCAACTTAGACGCTAGTTGCGTTGTGTTAGATGACTACATTATCACTGACACCTGATGATGTATGGTTAGATACAAACAAGGCCATCCTCCTGAATTTAATTAGGACGGTGTCGTAAAACTGTATACCAAACGGCGAAATATGAAGTATGTATACCAAACCATATTAGAAGCATAACAAATCCTAAGGACAGAATAAATTATAATTTTCCTTGTTGTGGAAAAATCTATAATTAGTGCAAAAGCAAAATCAAGATTAACATTCCTGTGATTTGATACTTAACCTAGAATTGCTAATTTACAGTATACGGGTAGACAATTAAAGAAAAAAGTCCTCTAAAACAAGTTTAATTGATAATGTTTTAAGTAAACATACGGTGCCGCTACGTACATCTATACTATAAAACAAACATAACGGTTGACGCGCTAGAGAAACAAATAAATCTACTTGTAACGATGCTTGCAATAATATTTTTTCTACTACACCGTAAGAATGTAAATATAATAAAATTCCACCGCTCTAATTTTATTTTTTAAAACTGATTTCTATACGAATAAAAATAAATACATTTAAGCAGATATTTAAAGATACAAAGGAAACTCAAAAGCGTGATACTTTATTGTTTTTCTCCCACGGTATTGTAGTAATTATTAATAGTCAAATTATTAAAGAAGTAACTAATTTTTGTTACACTAGGTAGGTATATGACGTAATAATTAAGTCTCTAGATCTGTTGAAATTAAAAAAATAATCAAAGATTTCGGTGTCACTAGTGTTTCAGGTTTTGAAAAATGTCTAACTTATAATAAGTCCGGTTTGCCTAATCAGTTTAGTTAAAAATTGCCATAGTATAGATTTGTTTTCAGTTCTCTGAAAAGCATTTAAAACTTAAAGTCGTAATTAAACATTTAATGAGTTATGTATTTTGTTTCTTCTAAGGAGTTTTATTTAATGTATGCCGCGGTAACTAAAAACAATATTTGTCTTTAGTTCTCTTTGCGATAAGTATGGAAGATTATCTTTACTTTGAGTTTGTAATGACACTTTTAAAAACCATTTTTGTATTGTAATTATTTATAATAGGTTACCAACTTATATAATAACAAGTAAGAAAGACAGCGGTAGAGGAAGATGACGTATCGTGTTATGATTATTAAAATTATTGACCATTCTTTTTTTGCCTTCTAATCTGCCTTTTAAGGCTTCACTATATTTATATGGCTACTGTATTGATATAATATTACCAATGACTGCAAAAGAAATAAATAAACATATCTATAGTACATTATAATCATATATCTTACCTAGAGTAGATTAAACTGTGTTCAAATATAAAATTTATTCACAACACACACAATTTGTAGTGGAAAAGATTAGATATACTCAATGTTTTCACAATAGAAAGGGGTTAGACGCGGGCGCACGGCACGATGCGCAAGCGCAGATGACAAGCGTCTCTTATCACAACACGTGAGAGGTGCGACGGTGCCTACGTAATTAGTTTTAATGAGACTAGTGTCCATTTAGTATTTAAAAAAAAGAATTGAGGACGGTTTATCGAAGTATTGAGCTCTTTTCGTACTAAACATGAGTGCGTAATACAGTGCCTATTCATATACTAGTTAGTATTAGATTGCTTGTAGTAAAACCGGTACTAAAGAACGAAAAACTAAACAACGATAGTTATGTTAACCAATTAGACAACTTTCGGTTACTACTAACTAACTATGTATGACTTAAATACTGTCTATAGTTTACGCGAGTAGTACACATTTAAATAAAACATTTTAACGGTTTCAAACGCGATATATTAGTAAAAATTATTTGAAAATGATTTTTAACTTCGGCCCGACGTTTCGGATGCTTTGCAGCAGCCACGGTCACGGGGTGTCGTCGGCCAAAGTTAAAAATAATTTTCAAATAAGTTTGACTAATATATCGCGTTTTAAACTGTTAAGGTGTTTTATTTTAATATGTATGACTTATAAATGTGTATTCCTTTAATTCATTAAGTGTACCCGTTCCCCCCGTGGTGGACGGGGCAAACAAATTTCTATTTCCCTTTCGCTGAACGTTTTTTTATTTACAGGCAAGTTGTTGATGAGACTTCTGGGCCCGGGAAAACGATCTATTGTTTCTCCGGGATTCAAACCCAGGACCTCTCACGCTTAACGCAATGCTAGCCAACGTTCAATCATTTAGCAGCGGAGGCCATTTTTGGCTTCATTGCGTTGAAAGAATTTTTAGAGGAAAATAACATTTAATTAATAATAATATCGCAGCATACTTTGCTTAAACAATAGCTAATTAAAATATGACTTAAAAAACATAATAATATACGTATATTTAGTACTGAATCTATCTCAGACATTTATTTTATATAATTATTGTTTTTTTTTTACAACAACAACAAAACAATACATACTATTAATTAAAATAATGTTTCAAATTTTTCAAATTACTTTACTTAACAACTACTTCTGTTAAGCAAGCGTTACGACAAAGTTATATGTATATAATAAATTCAAAACTTAACGTGTACCCCAACTCTTGATAGTTACATAAATATTTTAAAATTGAATTATTTTTATCTTTTCCTTTAATTATGGTTACATTAGTGTTCGAGATGAATGGACAAGGTTTATTAATTTAATACGTAACGAAGCAACATGTTCTATGTGCATGGCATATTAGTTGAGTCTCAAGTCGTGACCGTCCATTCCTTTGATACAAAACTAGGGAGATAAGGTGCTAAAGTTTACATAGAAAATGTGTTGTATTGTAAAAACATTACTAATATTTCTAACTTTATTATTCTATGTAATAAATTTGTCGCGTATTGAGTAACTGAGTCTAATGTATGGAATTCTTTAAATTAAATTAAAAACCTATTTTAGATTAATAAAATGTTTACGACACGGGTAGAACTTAAGCCGGCATCCGCAGCGTTTCGTGCTGTTACTAACCAATTGAGCTGCCGTGTCCTACACGTCATCGTCGAATTTATGTAATATAAAAGTTTTCAAATATAAATTAATTAAACCATTTTTTTAGATATTTTTAATTCGAAAAGAGCATCAGAGTCAGAAAAAATCTTCGGAAGAAAATAAAACATGTTCTTTGTCTATAGAAAAGTACGGATTTTAACGTAAACTTCATATTTTAATTATTTTTTAATACGATGATAATAAAAGTGATAAATTAAATTATTTAATATACCACTCTTGATACAATGTGCCAGTCAAATATGAAACTAATCAATTCATATTTTTTTCTGTAAATGTTGGACTTTGTCTAGAAATATGCCGTCCACAGATGAAACAGTCGTGAAGTTTAATTGCGTTTTGGTTTCAGCCTGTGGGTTGTCGAATATCCAAAGCTTGAGGTTGACAGCGTTTTATGCGACCGGCCTTTTGTGATGTTAAATAACTGGGGTATTTTATCTTCTATCAACTTCTTCATCTCCTTAATTATAAAGTTAGTAAATAAGATATGGAAAGATGCAGATAACTTATAACTTCGTTAGCCGTGCACGTTTCACTTTTACTTTGAAGTAAGCATTTCACACATTCCACATCGCGTAATTAAAATAACTAATAAATAATAATAAAAAATATAGTATAAAATAAATAAGTCATAACCTACAAATAATGAATGTAATTAAAATTAAAATTATAACTAGGACTGAATTAAAATTAGGTAGTAGTAGTATTTAAACCAGCTCTACTGCCTGTAGTTTACGCCAATACGCATTTAAATAAAACACTTATAACGGTTTGAAACGAAAAATAAATTAGTCAACTTATTAAAAATGTATTTTAAGTTACGACATTGAAGACACTGTCCACCTTCATTTCCACTATGACCACGGTTGCAGTGGACGCGTCCGAAATGTCAGAATGTCGTTTTTAGACCTTAAAAGGTGTTTTATTTAATTTGGTATTTATTAATTTTTAGCAAACTAAAATAAGGGCATTTTTATGTTGCTACACAGCGTTGATTATAGATATTCATATAAGTGATCCCGTTTCCCCACAAGGGGCGAACACTCTTCTTTGTCCGTTTCACCAATCAGTTTATTTATAGGGTTGATCTAACTATGTGCCTTGCCCAACAGAAACAAATATCACATAGATACTATGTATACATCTGTATATCTATCCAGATAAATTCATAATACCCACTAAATTTAAATAAAACACTTTAACGGTTTCAAACGCGATATATTAGTTAAACTTATTTGAAAATGATTTTTAACTTCGGCCCGACGTTTCTATATTTGTCGTTTATACCCGGTAAAACCAAACATATAAACAAAATTGTATTTAATTCTACATACATTGTTTATATAAGACATTTAAGTTAAGTATCAAGATAATAAAAACTAAGTAGTATTTGCCGAAACCCGCCTAACAGCTATGAATATTGGGAAAACACAATAAAAAACTTCTGTCGGGCAGAGCACAGAGATCTGTTCCAATGTTTGCCTGTAAATAAATGTCACAATCATCATTGTCGTTTTTTTAGTATTTCCAATGACACGAAGAAACCTTCAAAATAAACATGATTACGGCATAATGTATGCTGTTAAAAATAGTATTTATTATTTGCTTTTGAGGACATTCGTGACCGCAGTGTTTAACTACATACATAATAAAGTCATTTACGTATTCAGGTTTTACATAAACCTAGTTTTGGAAACCTAAAAACAAACTAATGTACATTTTACAATTGATAGATAGGATATTGAAATAAAAGGTTTCTTGTTCGCACAAAATAGATTGCTATAACATAACTTTGTTTAAATTGTTTTTTATTCATGGAATTGTGATTAACTAGTGGTGTAACTAAATACGCTAAAGAGTGTCTCTATTTGTTTGTTTGAACGCGGTAATCTCAGGAACGACTGCTTCGAATTGAAAAAAAAAATGTGTTGGTTGAATCATTTATCGAAGAATGCTATAGGTTATAAAACAATAGGAGCGAAAAAACAGAGGGAAATGTGGAAAAAACGGGGAAATTTATTGATTTTGGAGGGCTTTCGTTGCGTGCTCAGTGAAAACGGTATAAGAAACCAAAAAATATGTTTGAAAGTATCATTCTTCTTTAATTGATCTAAAAAACGACAGTATACGTCTATCTTCTAATAGTGACTGTCAAAAATGACGGAACGACTACGTTGTGGGTGAGAGCTATAATAATCTATAAAGCTGAGGATGTTGTTTGCAAAAATGAATAAAATGATGACCAAAATAGCTATTCCACGCGAAAGAAATCTCGGGCACAGCTTCAATTAAATAAACATAGAAAACAGTAATTATAGTCTGTGGCTTAGATTATTTTCCATCATTCTCTTGATAATACCACTGCCAATATATTTATCCATATTCTACGTCAATTTCTCGTCAGTGTTCTTATCTCCACATTTAATGTAGCTACATAACAGGGTCAGCTACTTCCGAATTCAAGCTATCGTACAGAATAACTACGTATAGTATACATTAAAGATACGATAAACGCCGGAAGAAGCCCGGCATAAGCTGGGTTGACTTGAATTTAGGTTTAATTTAACAAACACAGTTTCAATTATGAAAAGAATAAAAATGCTTCTTATCTCTTCGCCTCAGAGTTTCCTACATTTCCTTTCTCTCTGCTATGTCTTTCTCATTTCCTTCCCAAAGCACGCCAGCAATTTGAAGTTGCCCTTTTCGCCTTTTTATAAGCTGGGACAAACGGTTGTCCTTGATTTTCAGCAGTCAGTGCCCATAAACTAATTGTCTATCAGGCTACCTCTTAATTAAATCCATATAATGATTTTAATCATGCCAAATAATCATTTTTGAAATCATTGATATGATTTTATTGTCTACTTACGTACGTCAATTTTAGGCAATTTGTTCATTATTTTAACCGACTTAACTCAAAAAAACGGATCTACTATCCAAATTTAGAATATTAAGAATTATAATTAATCTTGAAATAATAATAAATTTGTCGTCTGCCCATGTCGTAATTTTTTTCAATTTATAATCGATTTTTAATTTACATAGTGCCCTCATGTGCAATAACATGTGAAAAATATTTAAGTTTTCTAACAATATCATCGACAAACAACATTGCTCGTAACTTTTTAAAAGGCGTTCTTCTTTAAATAAAACTAAACCGGTTAACGCAGCAAACTTTTAGCTATACATATTACCTATTATAAAAGATAACAATACTTTTCCCCTAATAAGTGATGCCAACATTCACGCATGCGTCAGTCTTTGGTACACCGTCAAACTGACAACCGGCACCCCTGTTCTGTTTACTAAGAGTTTTATAAAACTGTTTTAATACGTTATAATAATTATTTGAGGGTATACAGACAGCTTATTGGCTCGGCTATCGAACCATCTCAACGTTAATGATAAAGCAATTGAAATCGTTTACACTAACCAAAGACAATTGACTAAATGCCCGTTCATCAATCGTACAAGTCGTTTACGCATTGATTTTAAAGGAATATAGTGAAACGTGTGGTGTTTAGTGTGTATTTTGGTGTATTAATTGTAATAAGTGAGTTATAATTATTGCCGGCTCAACAGCTGTTGCCGTCGCGTGATTTTGTGAAAGGTGAAATGTTTGTCTCTTTCTCGCTAGAGCCTTACAGACCCATGCGTGGAATGTTTAAAGGACTCAGTCGCGTGATTCTTATTGTATGTACGATGAGATCAGAATTCATGTTGTGACCTCTAAAACAGATAAAAAATACTTATAGAGTAATATGTTTTTATTCGAGAGTACATATAGCTGAGTAAGATTTCATAATCATAAATTTGAACAACCTATAAATTATAATAACGTGAAACGTAATAACATAAAAGTGGAAACCACGTGTTAAATAAATACGTAGATCTGATATTCATAACAATATTTTAAAGGCCCAGATTTTTCGAAGTAGGTTATTTCAATATGAATTAATGTAAATTATTTCATTACTACCCCCATGACTACGGCTGCTGCAAAGAGTCCGAAACGTCGGGCCATAGTTAAAAAAGGTAAATACAATCAAATACATTTCGCGTTTTTTAACGGTTAAAAGTGTTTTATTTAAATAATAACCTTTGCGTGATAGTCTAAGTATAAAAAAAATATATTAGTATAAAGTTTTATTTTAAAAGCGTATCTAGTTTTAGAAGAAAAGAAATCGAGTATCATCTTAAACACGGAGGAACTCATTCTTTGAATTGAATAATTAGAGTGGTAAGATAAATCGTTTTGATTTATGCTCTTGCCAGTTCATTTTTTCGCTCAGGGTAACGAAGTAAGCCCAGTTTTATAGCTATGCTTTTCATTATCTGGCCGTCTTGATCCTGCCAATTAAAATTTTATGAAAGTATATAGTTTTACTTATATTAATTTCTACTAAAACATTGACTTGTGACACGTGTTTTCGAAAATATGCTTATCCAAGATTATTTCTATGCTGTCTTCAAAAACAAAAGTAGGTTGCTGTGTTTTTATTTCTAAATTTACCTTATACACGTTACTTTATTACATTGCGAGTTTACTGAGTATAATTAAAAACAAGACGGTATATTTAACGGTATATTTTCGGTTTATGGGTGAACTCGTGACCACAGCTTCTGTAAACCATCTAGCACGTCGTATATTTAAAAATAAATTATTCAATATCTTAGTTGTTTCAAACCGTTTAAAGTGTTTTTATAAGTAATACTCGCGTAAAATATATTTACTTTAACACGGCTTAGACAAAAGATAAAAAGATAATTTAAGCGCAGATAGAAGTCTCTTTGATTCAACGATCAAAAAATGCTTATCATGAAAACGTAGGTTTCATGACAAGCATTTTTTGTGGTTTGCAATTTTTGAATGTAGGCAAATGAGGACACTATCTGCTTGCAAAAAAATAAGTGAAACGGACACGGAAATGTGTTCGTTCCATGCCCCACGAGGGGAAACGGTATTTCACAATTTGTGGTTTGCAATTTTAAAATGTAGGATTATATCATATACTTTGAATAAATACGTTTGTTAAAGAAATCGTTCATATTTTTTTGCAATAGTTATGGTATGGGTTTTATTACACTGCATTTTCTCGTTATTTACTATTTCATGGTTTACAAAAACGCGGCATAGAGTTTACTTCGCACGTTTCGATCGATTCTTCGCTGTTGTAAACATAGTTTATTTGCTGTGGTGGTGCATAACTTCGAACGAATATTGCGTGTCGCTTGTAACTTTGTTTGAGGAATCCCTTTTATTGAATTTAAATTATCATATAAAAAATTACTATTAATACCTAATAATTGAGTTATTTTTTTCTCATTCGTATTTATTTTATTTAATACTGTTATGTATTATACTTTTATTTTAACTATAAGAAATCTTTTTAGCTTACTCTATTATTGGATGTCATTTTTATAGCTAACCTATTTTATATTTTTTATGTTAAAAGTACTATGGAAATCGAATTATTAACTGAGTAAAAAAAGTACAATATTTATTATAACTTATCTTTATTTTATATGAATTAGCGTTTTATAGCAACCTGTTCAAGGTTGAATATGATTGTATTTTGTTGTATAGTGGCGTTAGAATATGATAATATACTGATAATCTAGGTAAGTAGGCACGTTAACGTCGGCAAAGAGACAAACGAATCCCTTATCTCGAAGATTTAATAAATTTCTCAACTACTAAACCTTGAAGCAATAAAAAGCGTAATCGAATAATGATGTGATCAGATACTAAGCACATAGACCTTATTGATACCGTTATCAGGCTTTTACTCGTAAAGCGATACAAGACGCTGCACTCGAAGACTGATCGGACTAACAGACTGAGTTGGAGACCAGTAGAAATTAAGTTATTAATAGTGTGATAAGTTAAAATGTTCGCGAACAAAGCGCAAGTGTTACAAAATGAGATTCCCAAGATTTATCTGTCGGACGAGGATCCGAAAAACTGTGAAATACCCGGAAGTGTGATGGACGGAATAATTTTGGATGTCAACGAACCGCCGTACAAGGTCTGTAAGGCGCGATGGCTGATGCTTGGATTCTTTGTCCTCTATTCGGCATCGAACGCCTTGCAGTGGACCCAGTATACGATAATATCAGACATAGTTGTGAGATATTATGGTGTTACCAGCAATATAGTGTCATGGACGTCTATGGTGTATATGATCGCGTATGTGCCGTTGATCTTTCCGGCAAGTTGGTTGCTGGATAAAACGGTGAGTTTTAGTGACAATAAAGTATTAGCTTAAACTTCTCTATCATTAAAATATTTATATTGCAAAACTCGATGAAGTAGCCGGAATTCGAATCCACGACTAAATGTAACATCCCATACAAAATTCAAGATATGATACAAACCAATCTTTTGACATGTCATTTGTTTTTATGTGTACTATTAGATAGATTGGAATACCTAAAGATTTTATTCTACTAAAATAGATATAGGTAAGTAAAATATCATAAGGATCTATCTTAGTTCCTATCTATTCTCAATCTATTTTCCGCTTGGCTCATTGATCGGTTATATCACGTCACTAAGCACAATCTCCGATCTTTGTTTCTTCTTAACGAATTATTTTTTTTTCATTCCTCTGATTATTTATTATACCAAGAATCTGAAGGCTTTTGACCGATGTACCGGACGGGTATGTGAGCGGTCTAAAGGCATCTTCGTTTTCTGAGCAACAGCATAAAAAGAAGATTAAGTTTATTAATTTGATATTTATGGAAGTAATTTTTTAATAGGTTTTAAAATAATAATAATAAGCTTAGTGACAATGGACAAAATTGCAAACGTTGCCATAAAAACGTTTAGCGGAATTTCGGGTTCGCTTGGCATATCTCCACCAATTACAGCTATAAATCGAAACTTTTGTTGGCCTAACCAATTAACAGGTTGTAAATTTACACTAACAATGCATTCATTTTCGTTATTGAATTTTTTATCGAGCAGTTATGTAAAAACATACCAAGATATTGTATATATTAAGCGCTAAAACCTTTGTCTAACAGCTTGACTTCTAAGAATGTAGTAACGTAACAAAAGATAATAACATAATCTTAATACAATATCATCTGACATTAGTATTTATCGATAGTGTTATCAAGCAGTTATAAATGGATATAAGGAAGACTAGAATTAGAAGTCAGATAGATACATCCATCATTTACAGATCCTCATATTTTTTTAAGAATTTGAACTTATCTTTATTATGTAAAAGAAGAAAAAAAACAAAATGTTTTCAAAAAACGAACAAACGAAGAATACCGTTACGAAAGTTGATATTTACCATGTTACCGGTAAAAATAATTCATCTAAGAAGCCAAGCACAGATTTTAATGTTGACGAAGGCTATACAGTGATCCCAACTAGATGGATTATGTTAGGACTCTTTGTTTTATACTCAGCGTTAAATTCCATTCATTGGACTACGTATACGATCATTTCGGACATAGTTGTTAAATATTACGGTGTTACGAGTAACGTAGTTTCCTGGACATCCTTAGTATACATGGTCACGTATATACCGTTGATATTTCCAGCCTCCCGTTTCCTGGATAAAGTTGTAAGTGTTTTAAATTCATATTTATTCAATTAACTAACATAGAAAGATATTGATTACAGATTCATTACTCTTTATTTGCATATTTGTATTTCTTACTACTTACTTACTATACTGATAAATTGAGTAACAAGTGGACTAGATTCTTAGCGTTTCTGAAATTCAGGCGTTCAAACCGTTGCACTGGTTCTAGAGCCTAACCCAAGCCACCTCGTTCAAATATAATACAAATAAAAATAAAACTGAGTACTCTGGGAGGAGAATATATTAACAAATAAAACGCTTCAATAAATGAATCAAAATTTAGAGCTTGGTTGGCCAATTAATATTTTGTGCAATTAACAAGCGAAACCTGCTTCCACATTTAGGCTTACAGAATTTATTCTCATATAGTTCATTCAGTTAATATGAGATTTACAAAAAGACTCAAAAATATGTTTTTTTAAGCGATCTATGCTAGTGATACCCTTATTATTGAACTACGAAATGACGTGTCGAAAGATTTTTAGCGGGCAACCTTTAAATTTCAAATTTAAAAATTATTCCATATTTATTATCTAGGCACATAGGATACGGCAACTGTATGTATGTATACTACTTTTTTTTGGGGATATCTAGGTTATCCTTATTTTGTAAGTACAAATTATGCCTATCACTATTCTTGCAATCAATAATTTTAATTTTTTAAATATTCAATAATTTTAAGTCAAACTCTTGAATTCAAGTTAGTTGAAACATTTTCCACAAAACAAGCAATCCGTGGAGGCTCTGCGTGAATCCACTGATAAAATAATTACATTGTATACAAAGTTAATTGCTATTGAGATTAGCGTGATATCCCATTTATCATTTAAATGTATTATTATGAGTACACAGTTGTATACCTTTACATTTCAAAGTGTGTATAATAAGTAAAACAATTAATTCGAAGTTATTACAAAATGAAATGTATATTGCGCCTACAACTTAAACATAGCATAACCTTTTTAAAATGTTATTGCTATGTTCTTTTCATAAGGCATTATATTTTGCCTAGTTGATACTTCAAGATATTATTATTATAATATTTTTTTTTTTTGGTATGATAAATACAGCATACGTTTTAAGTTAATTTTTATTTGAAATAAATACCCATGGGTAATTATACATTAAAAATGTAGGTGGAAGATGACAGATGACAATAACATATTGCAATTCATACTGTTTTAACGGTTTAAATTTATTTTTGTGTAATATAAAATATGCCGTTTAATATTTTATTTTGTAAACTAAAATGCGTTGCGACCGAGATCATTATATTCAGAAGTCAGAAGAGACACTAAGTCTAGTTGAATGATGGTCATGAAGGTCAGAGGGTGGAAAACTTGACACAGAGGAAAATTGAAAATGCAGTAGTAGAGCACAGGCGGCCGCGCTAGGTGCTAGTCTACAGCGCCCGAATTGCGCGGGAAATTTTGACAATAATAGATTTAGACTCAAATGTAGACAACTTAGTTATAGATTAAAGCAGTGCCATTTAATACGACAATAATATAGATATAGGTATAATCAAAATGTCGGATCCAAAGAGTTTTCAAGTCTCCGGGAGCGTTATGGACGGTGTCGCTGAAAAGGGGGACGCTTTGCAATCGCCGAATAAGAAAGTACCGACCGAATACACTGTCTATCCTATCCGATGGCTCGTTCTCTTTATATTTGTTTTGTATTCGGCGAGCAATTCGATGCAATGGATCCAGTACAGCATCATTCAGGACACTGTCGTCAAGTACTATGGGGTGACTAGTTCGTCGGTTTATTTGACGTCAATGGTTTATATGATCACTTACATCCCGTTTATATTCCCTGCGAGCTACTTGCTGGATAAAACTGTAAGTAGAAATATTAAAGAGACACACAAATTATTAAATAAAGATATACAATAAGAAATACATACCTTTAACTTAGAATTTTAATGTTAAATTAAATTCATTAAAGTAGCAATGTGTATAAAACCCTTAAAATAATGTCGGGTCAATCTGCATCCTACCACGAATGATTAAATTAGGCCGTAATAAACAAAAAAAATTAGCAAGTCATTATCACGGAGTTAATTACTCGACACCGACCTTCATACATGTAGTACAAATACTTAGTGTTTAAAAAACGTCAGCAACGTCTCATAAATGTATCTTCAACAGATTAGTTGAGAGTGAGTGAATAAAATATAAATAATGGAAAAATCTATACTAATATATAAATCTGAAGAGCTTGTTTGTTTGTAGTTTAAAGTCGCTAATCTCAGGTTCGAAATGAAAAATTATTTTTGTGTTGGCTACAACATTTATCAAGAAGGTTATAAGCTATAAAACATTGCGCTGTGACTCATAGCAGATACAGCGGGAATACTCTGTGGGTTTCAGATGCGTACGCCGCGAAAACGGTTCAAAAATATGTATGAAAGAATTATTCCATATTTAAATGATCTAAGAAACGTCCGGGACAGTGTATGTCTAACTTTTACGATTAGCTATCAAGAACGACGGACCGCGACCGACATCGTAGGTAGTAATGTAATAGCTTAAATTTATGAAAGAGCGGGTTGACGAAAACAAATTTGGATGCCCAAAATAATTATTCTACGAGGGCAAAGTCGCTGATACAGCTAGTATAAAATAATTAAAAAAATGAAAGGTTATGTAATGTTTCGTTTCTAAATAAAATAAAATATAAGTAATATAGCGAATTTAGCGAAGTGAAACTGGTTTCATTTGCGGCTTTAAAATATTGCGAATGCCGGTGGGTAATCCCCCAGACCTCAGGAATTATACGATGGTGTAGAGAACGACTCAAAGAACCAGTCGTGAATAAACTTGTTTTGTCATACTGTTTACGACAAAAACGAGGCAACATTTTTTTACGTTTTCCTGTGCAAACGATGACATTTTAGGTAAAAAGTGAATGGTGTAAAGCTTGAGAAAAGAAGAGAAATTGCAAAAAAACGCAATTTCGGATCTCAATGACAGATGCTATTCTGCTGTGAATCAAATTGGATATAAATAACTCAAGTCATAAAATTGCAGTTAGGCTACTCTGCCTCTAGTAGTCTCATATGAAATATGTAGAAATTTATAATAATAAGCTAATTACATATAGATAATTAATTTATGAGTTTTAGTACCAATAATTCTTATGTGGAATCCATTAAAAAAATAATATCAACAGTTTTTATTTATAATTAAGTTATTGGTGATTTCCTAACATACAAGCGCAAAATACTGGTTTCTTAATTGGTTTAGCTTTGCACAAACAACGAATATATTATTTTAATAGTAGCTGGTACAAATAAAATACTTTAACGCTTTAAAACGTGATATATTAGTTAAACTTATTTGAAAATTATTTTAACTAATATATATCGCGTTTTAAACCGTTAAAGTGTAATTTTAGAAATCGATAATAAATTGAAGATATTTTCGATTCAGGCAGTACTTGAACCGGCATCGTCAGCGTTCTGTGCTGTTGCTCTACCAATTGAGCCACCGAGTCAGCCGTTAAAGTGATTTATTTTATTTAAATGTGTACTACTCGCGTAAACTACAGACAGTTATTAGTACCTGATGCTAAAAATTTAGAATAATGTGTTACACGTTGCAAAATAACTTTAATAAAAAAGACAGTCTGTACTCGGCCACTACAATTGTATGTGTTTTTCAACAGTAAAATGATACGATACATCAGTCGAGCAAAACAATAGTGTGCCAGTACAAGAAAGTATGTTTCTGCATCGTTCTTATTACTTTCTCGTAATATTTGGAAGTAACACGGAAGAATTACTTCGTTTCGCCTATGTTAGATTGAAAACTTAATTATTAGCGTAAATAACGGTTTAATAATTTTATTTTGCAAGAGTAACACATTAAACTCTAACATAATAGAGTTTAATATGTTACGCAAAAACTTTGTATTCAACTATTTATAAAGTACCTGGACAAAGGAGTTTTCGTCGTATCGTCGGACATAAACGATAGTAAATTTGTTTGGAGATTAATATTCAAACTTATAATATCGTCTAATTGTTGTAAAAAATTAAATACTATTGCCTGAGAAATTCAGAAAGGACTTATAACAAAATAGTTTGCCATATTTACACAACGCACTTTGTATGTGTATAAATTCTTTAGATAAATATCATTATTTTAAGATTTTATTATAACTTATTTAGTATCTAGTTTATTAAAATATCATAAATATAAGAATGCACGATAATGATGGCATTCATGGGAAACTCAATGCCGACTTAACTAACTTCTTTTCCTAAGTTAATCTTTTTCCTCAAATCTGTGTCGATTTAGATATTGCGAGACGGTTTAAGCATATAGATGATGTTATATGCTTCGTATACAAGGAAAACGTGAGATTCGCAAGAGTTGTAATAAATTACTTGTTCACCGATCTGGCAATCGGTCACCTACTTAAACATTTTCTGTACAGTGCGAAGTCAAAAGAGTAATGATTTTTAGCAAGGCTTTATTAAATTTTATTGTAAAACTAGCTGTGTCAGCGACTTCGTCCGCGTAGAATAGTTATTTTGGGCATTAAAATTTGTTTTTGCAAACGTTCTCTTGAAACAAAGTTTGATTTGTAATTTCATCTTCAATGATTTCTTAAGCTGCACAGCATAAGACGTTGACCCTTAATGGCAAGTGTTAAGGTTGAAATTACCTTGCGCGAGAGGTGCATGTATCAAAACGTTGAAAAAATTCGACGATGTGGTGTAGGACTCGGTAGCTCAATTGGTAGAGCAACAGCACGGAACGCTGACGATGCCGGTTCCAAGTCCTGCCCGAGTAGAAAAGTTTTTCGATTTTTAAATCGTCATTTTTATTTCACATTACAATAATATAAATCAAAAATATTTTAAAATGTAATCGTAAAGTTTGGACTTTCCAGTATATAGAAGACGTTTTATAGATATTTACTATTGGCGTTTGAAATAAGAATTACTTTTAGTAAATTAAACGTAGTTAAAATAATAATCTACTTAGTTACACAGATCGTTTACTTTGTAGGTACTTAATACACACAAGTTGCCGGGCATAGATAATATTTAACTGTTTACATTTTGTAACCTTCACAGTCGTACAATAACTAGGGACTACAATAGCGATCCGGTTGAGATAATTTCGTTTATTCGAATTCGATATCTAACTTACCTGTATCGATTCAATAAGTGCATTTTCAAAGGCCGTTCGATTTCCTGTTTAAAATATTTCCTTCGTAAAAGGAAGTCGGTATAAGTGCAGTAATAAGTATGTATCAATAGGTTGCCAAAAATTCTAAAGATGACGTGTAGCACAATTGGTTAGAGCAACAGCACGGATCTCCGCGAATGCCGGTGCCAGTCTCGCCCGTGTCCGATTTGTTTTTTCAATCTAAAGTGGATTTTTATATTTAAACATTATTCGCCTTTATAAATAAATACAGAATGTATACGAAGTACTTTAGAAGGAGTAATATTGGACTCAACCTCGGGAACTGCTCCACTAGTGGATACCTACAGCCAAGACACGGTACGCTGTTGGTCGTGGCATTATTTTTTTCAGTCTAAGTAGGTTTAACGCTTTATGTATGGTTCCAATAAAACACTTTAACAGTTTAAAACGCGATATATATTAGTTAAATTTATTTGAAGATTATTTTAACTACGCCTCCCCATGATCGCGGCTGCTGCAAAGCATCCGAAATGTCGGTCCGTAGTTAAAGTAATTGAAATAAGTTTAACTGATATATATCGCGTTTTAAACCGTTAAAGTGTTTTATTTAAATGTGTACTACTCGCGTAAACTACAGATAGTATATGTATGGTACCTAGAAGCACCACTAAAAACATTTTTAATGAGTTGTGCTCTTGTCGTTCTTTACTTGGACTCGCTTACCTTCAGAGTAATCGTGCCCAAGAGTCTATGTTTAGAAACAGCAATTTGAACCTCTAAAGTCTTAGTTCTGCAAACGTCTTATAGAAATATACAAAGTTAAGGTCGAATTCGCTTGAAATGGAAATACATTTATTTTCTGTAGATAAAATATTAGTTAAAATTGAGATGCATGTTTTTACTTTAACCAAACATGCAGTTTAATGGTTCTAAATAAATTTTATTATTTCCTACAATCTACACAGATAGTAGATACTATTGGAAATACAGTGTTAAAATATGAATACAACCTAACTGACGCTGATTTAGTACGCGATAAAATTTGACAAACACGCATGAACATTTATGAACGTCAATAAGTACGCAGTACTACTACGGGTATAATAGTAAAATCCTTGTACAAAAGCGGTATTATCAAGTTTTCTCGAAAGAATCATTAAACTAAGCACTTTCTTAGAAACAATTGTCCTTAAAATTGACTACATTACACTAATTATTACAAACTTGAACCGAATCACACACAACAACGATATATTAAATGATTTTTTTTTTACGACGGGCAAGACTTGAACCGGCATCTACAGCGGTAGTGTAGCTCAATTGGTTATAACAACAGCACGGAGCGCTGTAGATGGCGGATAAAGTCCTAGCCGCGCCGTAATTTTTTTTCAATCTTAAATCGATTTTTAGGTTTAATAATGACATTACGTGAAAAATAATAATCCAGATTTATAATTATTGTTAACGATAAGTAACAATAGCACCCTCCGCTATTCTTTCCATCATATATGTCATTTAACATGATATGTCTTCAAAAACCTTAGTCACTACGTCATGCAAATTCAAGTACTTAGATATGACTTGGCTCCTACAATATAAGGAATTCTTTCAGGGTCTTCGAATAACAACAATCATCGGGTCGCTGGGAACATGCGCGGGCGCATGGATGAAAGTGTTTTCGGTGCCACCAGACATGTTCTGGGTTGGCTTCGCGGGGCAAACGATTGTGGCCATATCGCAAGTCTTTATCCTGAATGTCCCCCCGCGCCTGGCAGCTGTCTGGTTCGGCGCGGACCAGGTGTCTTCTGCCTGCAGCATCGGTGTCTTTGGGAACCAGGTAATTTTAGTTAGAAAGTGACGCAGAGAAATTACAAAGCTTTCGCTCGGTTATTCTTAAGCTACCTTTATTATGATATAGGAGGACGGACAAGCATAGGGCTCACTCGATGGGATGCCCATAAAACAGCCATATAACATCTACAAGATGGGCTGCCTATTTTGGCTTTGGGTGTTCGGAAAATCACAGACTGAAAGCGAAACTCCTTTAAACTTGATATCTTTTTTATCTGTGGACGGTGATTCTTGACCCGGACGAAATTTCGATGTTACTACCACTCATTAAATATACAGATTATCAGACGAAGTCCAACATGTTTCAGAAAAAAAATATCAATTGATTAGAAAACTATTGGACCCGTTGGGGATCGAACCCACGAACCGTGGTTATTAGCTATACATGGCTACCATTACACCGAGACCGTCAAAGCTTAAATAAAAATGTTCCTTCTAGTTGGTTAAATGATAGAAAGCCAGTTAACTAAGATTTTAATTTTAAATTTTTGATATTCCCATCCACATTATGTAACATTTTTCCTTATTTTCACACATTAACTACTATTCCAATGCCTCTAGCAACTATTAACAAAGTCGTTATAAATTCAAGGTTAACATAAGTAAACACCACAGTTATGGATTAAGGGTTAAAAGTATTTAAAAATTCAACGCAATTTAGGGGTTAAGTGGAACTTCGTTTAATTAAAATATTTACAGAAATGTGGTAGTTGATTAAATCATCGCAAAATTTTAAGATAGCAACTCAAGTAGGAAGGAAATTATATTTTTACAAAGATGCCTCGTCGGTGCCTCCAGTGTCAGAGTTTACCTCGGCGACTTCACTATCTCATTACTTAAATGTAAAAAAAAAATCTCTGGTCACGCAGTATGTATAAAATACTTCGACGAAATCTGATTACCATAAGAACGGTTTTTGTGAGTTAACCTTAACATACTTTCGCGATGTTTTTGGATTATTTAAAGAAGTATAATTATTTTATATTTTTGGGTATGTTAGCCTGGTATGCAGCGCGCATGCAACGATAACTCTCAACGATGAATATTTTTTCGTAACGGAGTAAACGGACTCCAAATTACCTCATTTTCTAGCTTCTATACATATACTATCTTGGCCTAAGTCAGAAAAAAAATGCCCGCGTCAGTTTATCTTTTCATCTTTTAAGATGAACTTGCAAAACGGACGGCACGTCGACGACGTCTTTGCTATAATTTATAAAGAAGGACGCAAAATCTAATGTTGATGTCTACCATTCTACGCGGACGAAGTCTATGGCACAGCTAGTTTAATAATGTAAGATTTAGAAACAAAAAGTATTCTTGCATTATTCTTACTGCCAGGCTGATTGGATATATCCAAACCGGACAAAGCCAATGGAATGTGTAGGACTCCTTATATGAGAGTTCGCCGGTAATATAATAGCAAATTGTGTGATTGCAACACTCGGAAGTGCTTATCCAATTTGATGTGAGGGGACCGTGATTCTGATCATTTGTTTCACACTCCTCACGGTACGGTCTCTTAAATGTCCTACATAATATAATAGTTTTCATAAATATTACCTTAAAAGTTCTGCTAATTCTCCTTGAATGAGTTTTAAACTTAAATGAGGTAGCAACTAAAATAAAACTCAACAAGTTTGCCGCTAGGCTCACCCCACGGAGTTTTATGATTTTTTTTTAATTCGGCATCATAATTAAATATTTTTTACCGCTAAAAATGTACAACGTAAATGTTTAAAAAAATCCTTTATAATTTACGCGATTCGCATTTCGCCACATTGGTAAAGCATTCATATAAGTAGTCATAAAATGACTATTTATATCTCACGATTCAAACCGTTAAATTTATAATATTCATTGTACTAATTTAATATAATTCTTAAATTTACACGGTGTTTATAATATGTAACAATCATAATAATAATTATTCCTTTTTATCAAGTTATTCAAAGCCATAACTGAAAACTATTCTATGTTTTGAGTATTTGTTTGTAGCTTTATGCACGCTGTCGCTAAGATATTTATTTGTGCAATATATTCAAATGCAGACAATGAAGCAATAAATTTTTTATTTTCAGTAGTTATTCCATAACGTATTAACTATTGTACATATGGTGTAAAGTCTGTTAGTTATGATAGTTAATTTAACTCAATCATTTCTTAAGTCAACAAAACTGTAATGATCTGTTCTTTAGAGCTTACGTACATCACTAGCAGTAATAATTAGTGATGTTCATTATAATTACATATTGAATGGTCTCAAATTACTATTAAATTGTATATTTTATAGTTTAATTTAGCGAGTAGTGCACATTTAAATAAAACACTTTGACGGTTTAAAGTGCGATATATTAGTTGCCACGGCTGCTGCAAAGCATCCGAAATGTCGGGCCGAAGTTAAAAATCATTTTCAAATAAGTTTAACTAATATATCGCGTTGTAAACCGTTAAAGTGTTTTATTTAAAAGTTTAATTTATGTTTAAATCACATTAAACATATTTCGCCGCTTAAAATGACAATCATTCAAGGCTTACCTATAAATGGTACGTATTAAGTCTGATTTTTACGCCATTGTTATTTTTTAAAATAGAAGTCGTTATTATTGTAACGATGAGAACGTTCTATTCATATTTTTTGTTTCCAACATGGTATTTCACATTTTCTACTTGTTTTTGTTTGTCAAGTATATATAATAGGCCAGTAGATAATATTTATTTCCTGCTTAAAATATGTTCGTAGAAATTATTGAGAAGATAGGAGTTGCCTTACTTTTGTGATACGTTACGGACATTATTTTAGATAATTTAAATAAATCAGATCAGAAAAGAATCATTTAAAGAGATCTTTTTTCTTTAATATTTTTTGGATATCTTGAACCGTCTTCGCAGTGTATGCTTCGGAAACCCACAAAGATGAATAAATTTCTCAGTTTTTCTTTTTTCTTTAGCTCGGTATCGCCCTGGGATTCCTGTTACCCCCCATAATTGTTCGTGCACAAGGAACAGTTGAGGAGATCGGGGAAGACTTCAAATTCATGTTCTACCTGATAGCTGGAGTTACTACTGTATTGTTGGTGCTAATAGTTTTGTGTAAGTTTAATCTGAATATTATTAATTTTTGCTTACATAGTAAATGCAATTACATGTTCTTGTATTGAACATTTACACATGATAACGAAGAACATTCGTTAGAGAAATTTAAGGGGCTCGTTGCTTTTAATATAGTAGCGATGTAAGGCCAACGATCAACGGGTCGTGGTTTTGATCCCCACCGGGTCCAACGTTAATATTTTTTCTGAGACATGTTGGATTTCATCTGGGAATCTGGATATTAAATGTGTGGTGGGAATATCGAAATTCCGCCCGGGTCACGATTCATCGTCCACAGATGAAAGAAGTTTAATCGCGTTGCGGTTTCTGTCTGTGGATTTCCGGATATCCAAAGCCAAAGTAAGTGGACAGCGCATTTTTGACCCCATGGCTGTCTGAACTCTTTTATATTAAGAAAAAAAAGAATCTCTGACCGACGAAATTTTTCCAGATACGGCTTTTTACCAACTTTGAATATTAAGAAATAACAATTGATTTCTATATATCGTTTTTCAGTCTTCAAAGCAGCGCCTGCCAGTCCACCGTCGGCTGCAGCTGATTTGGGCGCCGCCCTAGACTCGAATTTCCTACAGTCCCTGAAGAAACTGATGACAAACCGCAACTACATACTTTTGTTGATCTCTTACGGCCTAAATATCGGCGTGTTCTATGCTATATCGACTCTGCTCAATGAACTAGTATTACGTTACTATCCGGTAAGTTATTTCTTGAGCGAATTAAATTTTCTTGTTACCAAAGGTTTTTAATAAGAATATATAGGTTATAATAATCAGAGGTAGCAGGCAGTTCGACAGCGCGTGAATATTTCACCTTCTATCAAAGTAGCGACCGCCGCTGTAGCCAAAAATCAGGTTATACGTATTGCCTAGCATTGTGTTAAGGGTTCGAATCCCAGGAAAACAAAAAATTGTTTCGGTCGGGCAGGGCACAGAAGTCTGATCAACTACTTGCCTGTTAAAGAACGGGTCAGTGAAACGGACACAAAAATGTTTTCGCCCCATGCTCGAGGGGGAAACGGGATTTCACTATCAAAGTTTACTGTATAAAAAATAAAAATAGAATAGTTTATTTTTTCATCCATACAGTAACAAACCAAAACACATGCTCTTGATAATATTTATTAGTCATCCATGTTAATATAATTTATGTTTGTATAGGATTATAATGGATATAGCACATTTAATAAAAATTAAAACTGAAAATATTATTCGGATTATGACAAACAATTTTCAAAAAAATTAACAACCTTATTCTTAAATTTAAATATTTACAGGGCGCGAATGCTGATGCAGGCCGCATAGGTCTCGTGATCGTCGTAGCTGGCATGGTGGGTTCTGTCGTTTGCGGTTACATTCTGGATAAGACTCATCGCTTCAAGGAAACGACGCTGGCTGTGTACGCTGCATCAGTTGTGGGAATGATTATTTTCACTTTTACTTTGGACTGCGGACAAATTGCTGTAGTGTATTTCAGCAGTATACTTCTTGGGTAAGTGACTAAAAAGGTTTTTGTTGACCTTTGAAACACACAAGTGCATTGATTTAATCTATACTATATAACTATGGGTTTGAATTGAAAGTGTTTTTTTTTTGTGTTGGTTAGAGCATATTTATCAAGCTTTTATTAAATGATTTATTAAAAAAGTCCACGACGCTATATGTCTATCTTATAAGATTAACTTGCAAGAACGACGGGAAGGGACGCGGCCGACATCGTAGGTAACAGCTTACGTTTAAAAAAAATGAAGGGGTTTGCAACAACGAGTTTGGATGAAAAATAAATATTTTTAACGGACGAAGTCGCTGGCATAGCTAGTTATAAAACATTATTGTTAGTCCTGCTCTTAACGAATTCTTTATTGTCTCTCAAATATACCTCAATAGTCATTTGTATTATGTACTTATTTATTGGATGAATGCAATGAATAATTGACAAAATATTTATTTTAATTGATCAAAAACGTTTTAACGGTTTTAAACGCAATATATATTAGTCAAACTTTTTTGTAAATTATTTTAACTACGGCCCGACGTATTCGAATGCTTTTGCAACAGCCGTGGTTACGGAGAGACTACGGAGAAAGCATCCGAAACGTCGGGCCGTAGTTAAAATAATTAAAATGTTTTATTTAAATGTGTACTACTCGCGTAAATAACAGACTGTATTTCCTCGGTAATTTAAGGAGCATAAATATAATCCTTCCGTACAGTATTTTTTATTAACAGTTGACTAAAGAGAGTATAACTTTTAAAATTTCTTTAATACCAGTCTGTAGTGTAATTTAATATAATTTATTTTTTAGTTTCTTCATGACGGGATACCTTCCAGTTGGATTTGAGTTCGCTTCGGAGATCACTTACCCAGAACCAGAAGGAACTACGTCTGGAATATTAAATGCTTGTGTACAGGTTTGTCTCATGTTTATTGTACTTGATAGTTTCGACTTTTTTTATGAAAAGCAAACTGAGGGTAGTTTGCAATTATTGGTCTATGGTCAGTTGTGGTAGTAGTTGATTGAGTCAGTTAAAATACAAAATGCACTGTTCCAGGTCTTCGGCATAATACTCACTCTGCTCTTCGAATGGATGCTGGCAGAAGTTGGCGATCGCTGGGCGAATTTAACTCTATGCGCGATTCTCGCTGTTGGTACTGCTATAACGGCCGCCATCCGATCCGACTTGAGACGCCAAGCTGCGCAGAATAAGGGTTAAACATTTTCTTGACCAAAAATATTTACTTATATGTATGTCTTGTAGGCTGTTATTAAAATTTGTGTAACAAATAGGGACATTAGAGTGGTACATAAAGAAATTGGACAGGGCTTTTAGTTACATAAATTTGCCGATTTGATTGAACCATAAAGAGTTCTGTAAAATTTGGACTGTATGACAAATTAATGCAAATTGACGATCCAAAAAAGGTAAATACTCACTAATAAGTTATCATCGGTGTAGATCAAACCGAACGCAGATCTTAGGCTGATGCTATACATTTTGGAAAGGAAGCAGCAGTGGATCTTACATTGTTTCGGTTCGTGAAAAAATTTGCCCTGATAAGGACCATTGCTATGCTTTTTTAAATGAGGTTAAAACATTGCTTCTGTGACTCTGGCAACACTGACCCCTCTTTTATAGAGGCTCACTCTATCAGAGCTAGACATTATTCTGGCAATTTATCCTCCCAGTACCCCGGGATCAGAGTATGGACCTTGTGGCCGTTACAACTTACGTTGAAATGTCGAAAAACTAGTAACGCCCAGTCGGAAGTGACTCATTTTTTACTTTTTTTTGTTTTTTATCTTTGCAGTTTATTTGACTGTACATTTTGAATCCAATTAAAATTAACATTGGGCACAAACAGACGTATCAATGCGAATAATTACGAATGATATTCAGGTTAGTTTGATAATCCTTAACTTGATATTACCAACATTTTTTAAACCTTTCAAATGATATATTCCAGAATATTGGGATTACAAAATATTGACGATGACAATAAAATTTCTAAATTGATATTTCAAGAAACGAATAAGAAGGTATATTTTATATAAAGAAAAGTTATAACGTTTGTAAATTCACATCAAGGTATTTTATATATGTTTCAAATATTCATTGAATAATACAGTAGGACAATAATCGATGGTGTCATATATAAGATTCGTGAAGATATAATAGCTATTACGTATAATATTAATGTTTTATCGTATTTTATGCTATTGCAGTAAGTTTATCTCGTAATATATTCGGTACATAGATATATAATACTACTAAACGGCACTAAGGACATTTTCAGAGGTTTAAAAGTATTGTTTCATTTGCGGTAACGTATTTATTATTTAATTTATTTATGGATATAAAGTGTATCATCAAATACTGTCTGTAGTTTACGCGAGTAGTACACATTTAAATAAAACACTTTAACGGTTCAAGACGCATTATATATTAGTTAAACATATTTAATTTTTTTTAACTTCGGCCGGACGTTTCTAATGCTTTGCAACAGCTGTGGTGTGGTAGGAGACTAAAGATGGAGGATGTCTCTGAGGTCAAAGTAAAAATTGCTACGCTAGCGCCATCTGTTTCGTCGATGTTGGTATTTGGCGAAACTGGCCGGTTCAAATAAGTTTAATTAATATATATCGCGTTTTAAACCGTTAAAGTGTTTTATTTAAAAATGTATTATAAAGCAACGTATACGTAACATTTCTTAAAACTGAGTTAAATACAGTAGAATCTTTGTTAGGAATCTTCTTTTTAATATTCCATCTTAAGGCTTGTGATGCTTCGTAATTTTTATTAAATTATTGCAGAAATAGATTAATTGTTCTGTGATGAGATCCAGTATTAAAGATTAATTATAATGTATTATTTGTCTTTAATAAAACTATAAGTTATAAATCTTAGGGCAATAAATAGTATTTGTATTTTGTTCCTTAATATTGATACATTTTATAATTTTAATTATTATTTTCGATGTAATTTAACATATTGTAGGCAAGGTTTAATAAAATTATTTTAGATAGAATAAATTGGTCTGGTGGGAAACTGGAAAGTGAAGAAATAATGAAAGAAATGGTTTATCGGATGGTACAATTTTTACGGATTTATTTTATCACAAAAAAAACCACTTGATAACATTTTAACTATCTCGTGTTCTTGAGCAACAGACAGACAAACAATGGAGTTTAGTAATGTGCTTTATTTACTAAAGCCTATAAAGTAAATAATTAACAATTAAAAAAATACATTACTAAACACAAATGTATTTATTTAAGCAAAACAATATAAAACAGGTGGTTTGCAAATTGTTGGTGTAATAACATCACAATATTTTTTATTGTTATTTTTACAGGTTTAAAAATGTACCATCAGTAGCGTAGTTAAATAGGCAAGGGCCCGGTGCATAGAGAAAGAATCGAAACATCACCCCCTCTTTCTACGTGGCTCGAACTTTCATTCCCTTCAAAATTATATATTATGTTAGGGCAAAGGTCCCTTCGAAGTCCAGTGCACTGCCCTACCGGGCCCTACGATAGCTACGCCATAGTGTACCATTATTAGCTTATTAAAATAATAGAAAATACTAAATGGTTTGAGTTTGAGTTAAAATATTACATAATAATCTCAACGCACAATTAACTTCATTGTCAAAACTTGGAAAAGTTAAAATCCGAATAGTAATGTATGAATTAGGAAACAATATTGTAAGGTATTTTTTTCAGTAGAATGATTGTAGTAGACTTATGTATTGTTATTATTTTTAGGTCACTATGAATAATATCATGTAACAGCGAGAAGGGATAGCGTAATAATAATTCTCATGTATTGCTCTTGTTGTTAAACAGTTATTAAATGAAGTGAAACATTTATCCTTTTATTTTATTCTATTCTTAAGTACTATGTTATTTTGTTGGATACAGGATAAAATATTGCATGAACTCATTTTGAATGGTATGGTACAACTATGGTACAATGGTTTTAGGAATAAGGTTACCTGCATTTAATATAAAATAAAGTAAAGCCTTAAAAGGAGCTACATAACTTAAGATACCATTAATATATTTCGAGGACAGGAAAACTTAATGAAAATAATTATAAGCAAATTATATACGACTTCAAACAGCAAACTAAAAAGGAGAAAAGAAATTAACTTTGCGTATGATGGTTTAATTATTTTAACATATGTTTTTGCCAAGTTCAATTCGCAATTTAATCTTAATAACTCCTGTGTTTGAATTTTTTAAGGCATAACACTGCATATTTATTTTAAACATCGAACATAAACTGTAGACCAAACAACACTTAAAGGTTAATACGCTCTGTAGCTTACGCGACTAATACAGATTTAAAGAAAACACGATAACGGTTTTAAACGCGATATATTTTAGTAAAACTTATTTGAAAATTGTTTTAACTACGGCTCGAAAACGGCTGCTGCAAAGCAACCGAATCGTCGGGCCGTCAAAATATACCGCGTTTTAAACCGTTAAAGAGTTTTATTTAAATACTTAAAGTCTGGTATTTTATATATCTATAATGATGTTATAATCTTTATACGTACTTGAAAACGGCCATCTCATTTCCAAGAGTCCTCTGTGTGATCGCAACTACTTATGAAGGAAGGTCAGGGGGCTGGTAAATTTTAGGCCGAGGAAAACTTGAAACTAGTCTGTATTCGCGCATTTACTACCGCGAGAGGTGCTTGTCAGAATTTTTGTTAAAAAATAAGATCGACGTGCAGTTAAATTTTAAAAATTAAAAACCCAAGTTCTTGTCAAGGGATCAAACTTCAGTATTGAAGATGACTGTGATTAAAAATATTGTCATATGTGGCAGCGGATGTGGTGAAGCTGAAAATGGTCCAGTCACAAAATCAAATACAGAAAATGGAACTGAATACAAAGTGTACCCTATTCGATGGCTCGTTCTGGCAATATTTGTTTTATATTCAGCCAGTAACGCAATGCAATGGATTCAATACAGTATAATTCAAGACACAGTCGTCAAATATTATGGAGTATCAGATCTGGCGGTCTACTGGACGTCAATGGTTTATATGCTCGTGTATATTCCCCTCATTTTTCCTGCTAGCTATCTGTTGGATAAAACTGTAAGCACCTAGCTTAACTTTTCTAGAGGAAGACGGACAAGGTTCACGTGATGGACGGTAAAGTACCTGAGGCATATAAAATCTAAACAAAATACGCTGTCCTCTATATTGGCTTGGTATATTCGTAAAATACATTGACTGAAACAGAAATGCGATTAAACTAAACAGCCGTTTCATCTGTGGACAGTGCTTCGTATCCCGGACGGAGTTTCGATATTTCCACCACCAATTTCATATCCAGATGAGTTTCGAAGTATTTCAGAAATTTTATAATACGTCGGGCATCGAACCCACAACCCGGTGTCGTTGATTATTAGCCATACATCAACGACACCGTCAAACTAAAAAGAAAAATTGTATATTCTATAACACGTGTAAATCCACAACTTTCTGAAAAACCTTAACAACAAAAAACCTTTTAAGTACATTCTTAGTTTAGAAAAAAAAACAAGTGAAGTTAATTATTATATTAACTTTAATTGATATAACAATTAAAATTCTGGTTCATAATTATATCAGTATTACGCTATTAAGCAAAAATCTGTTAGCTGTATTTGAATTAGGTAAAAAATTATACTTAATTTAAATACAAGTCTAGACTTTACGTATATTTATCATTATAGTTATAAATGATGATATTTTCTCAGCAAAAATGTAACCGAAAAAGTTTTTTGTAAGATTCACAAAATATTTCCAAATTTGCGATAGCAGAAACATCCCGAAATTGAAGCGATAACTTCTAATCGTTATCAGAGCTGAATCATATTAACTAAAAGAGAAAATTAAAAAAACGTTTTCGTGATCTTAAATAAACCAAAAGCCCGTATATTAAATCTTTATACAAGCAATTAGCATTAGTCTATGATGGCACAGATAACGCTAATTCTATCCAGATTATCACCTCCTAAAAATATGGCCTTATCTGTAATAGTGGTTTTAAAGTTATGTATTTACGAAAATCGCGCGCAGGCTGTACACGTGACGCGGAAGGTCTCGTTTTATTATCCACACAAGTGGTATAATATCATAACAATGCAATATGTATAATTATATTTTACGATAATTCATTATTTATTACTTCACATAAAAAGTAATATAGATAATGCCAAAGTAAGTATCTAATTATATGGATTTTTTAAACAGCGGAGGAAGAAGTCGTGGGATTCATTTGGTATAATATAATATTGTTAACAAACCTAGAAGCTGAAACCCGGATTTAATCAAACACTTTCAATGGTTTAATACGCGAAATATATTCTTTAACTTATTAACAATTTAATTTAACTACGGCCCAACGTTTCGGCCATGCGTTGCAGCAGTCGTTGTCACGGGTGGGAACATAGAGGGGAGTCCCTAATGTCAAAGTTAAAACATAGCGCTATCTGTTTCGTCGTAGTTGGCATTTGAAGAAAGTGGCTGGGTTCTTGCAGAACTGACTCACGTAGTCCTCTCGTTCCTTGATATGCCGTTTTTGGGATTTAGTAATGGCTCCTGTTTTGGACGGAGATTTTGTAGTCGTACCTATTAAATATCCACGTTTACTTAGACATTTTAAATGATTGACTGGGTGGGAATCAAACATAAGTTTCTGTTTTATTTAGAGATACATGGCTACCAACGAGGCAGTAATCATATAGTAGAAAAACAACACCTGCTAACCATTTCATATCCTTATATAGGTCTGTTATGTCATTGTAATATAACTTCCTCTCCTTGAATATATTATGTATTGTAAAGACACGCTGTAAGAGGCCTCCAAATTTTAATTAGTTACATTTTTGCCATTGCTCTAATTACAATGCGTGTTCCAACTATCACTTCCGTATTAGATAAACCAACGACAAAATCTTTTTCAAGTCATAATATTGTTCCGTTTTAGTAGACACATATGCTTATATAGGTAGAAAGACACTCGACCATGTAGGGGACTATTGGTCTTATTTCGTAATATTATAGTCTTGGATGCTGTCCCCATCATGACCACGGCTGCTGCAAAGTATCCGAAATGAAAATAAGTTAACTAGTAATAACGCGAAATATATTTGTAATTCTAATTTAACATAGGAAGCTTGGATTTTAGTCAGTTTGGAGTCAGGTCGCGAAAGTAATATATTTTGCGTTATAAGCGGTTCAAAGTGTTTTATTAAATGTTTAAGTACCTCTGGTTTAAACTACCGATAATACTGTACCAAGGACTGTCTGTAGTTTAGGCGAGTAGTACACGATTTAATAAAACAACCATTTAAAACGCGAAATATGTTAGTTAACTTTTTTTAATTTGTTCACCATTTCGCATGCTTCGCATGAGCCATGGTCACGGGGAGAGGGAATTAGTTAACCAGCATACATTTCGTGTTGTACCCTTAAAAATTTGGTATTTCAGTAAAAAAATACAGATTTTTTCATTTACTCACTCAAAATGTTAATTATTATCATCACTGATACCAATTTTTTTTAGAATCTTCGTGTAACGACCTTAATCGGATCTTTTGGGAATTGCGCTGGCGCATGGCTAAAAGTTATGTCTGTTCGCCAGGACTTGTTCTGGCTTAGTTTCTTGGGGCAGACAGTTTTAGCATTTGCACAAGTATTTGTGTTGAGTATACCACCGCGACTAGCAGCTGTGTGGTTTGGCGCTGATCAGGTTTCATCTGCTTGTAGTATTGGTGTTTTTGGAAACCAGGTATGTATAAAATATACATTTAATTATATAATATATCAGAATATAGTAATTTTAAGGAAAACTCTAATATAAATATTCGATCACAAGCAATAAATTCAATCCAAATATGTGTGATTCAATTTGATAGCTAGGTGTTGCTGTGGGTTTCCTGATAACTCCGATGATAGTAAGGGCACAAGGATCCATTGAACAAATCGGAGAAGATTTCAAGTTTCTTTTTTATCTTGTGGCTGGCATCACGACACTACTCTTTGTGCTTATCGTCTTATGTAAGTGAGAAAGGGTATGATTATTATAAGAAGTCTCTTTTAAATTACGCCTTTTTATCATGGGTGATAAACTGGTGATAATAGGGATACGTTGCAACTTATGGGTTTTAACGGTTAAGAAACTACAAAATATGTATGAAAGAGTAATATGTGTGTCTAAAAAAATGTCCACGACATATCTATCTTAAGATTAACTCGCAAAAACGACGGGATCTGGACGACATCGTGGGTAACAGCTAAATTTTATAAAGCGGAGGAGGTTCTTTGCATAAGTAAATATGGTGCCCCAAATCCACGCGGGCCAGTGTAGTATAAAAACGTCAGGATAATTATTTTCTTTTACAGTTTTTAAGGCGGCGCCTCCGACACCACCATCATCTGCCGCTGAAAAATGTGCAGCCATGGACTCCAACTTTCTTCAATCTCTGAGAAAATTAGCCACAAACTGGAACTACTTACTATTACTAATATCCTATGGTCTGAATGTAGGAGTGTCCTATGCTATAGCCACACTACTCAATGAATTAGTGTTGAGATACTATCCAGTAAGTACTATCGTGCAAAATTATAAACAGAAATATGACTGTTTCCAAGATTGAGACTTGGGCGTCCTATCTTTGGGCGTTTTTTTGAGTGTAAATAAGCAATAATATTGACGTGGGAATCATACTCCTGATCAGATGAAATCCATTGCACATACCACCAGATTAACCTTCATAGAAGAAGTATTGCTTTTCTTCCTTAGCTTCAGAATTCAAGGATTCTCGTAGATATCGCGAATTTTAACTGCAATCAAAGCAACTAAGTCAACACCCGAATGTGAGTTCTTCACAGATGAATTATCCTCAATACTAAAATTGTCTACCTCTGAAATTACGTCTTGTATTTAGCGTATTTTTTAAGTATAACTGGCTGGTTACAATTTTCTAAATAATTATAACTGGCTTTGGCCGTTTTGTTTTTTTTTACCAAAGTTAAGCATTACGTTAAGCGCGAGATTATACATGAGAAATTGTTTAGCGCACCTAAATAAAACACTTTAACGGTTAAAAACGCGATATATATTAGTTAAATTGATTTTAACTACGGCCCGACGTTTCGGATGTTTTGCAGCCGCCGTGATCATGAAAAGGCGTAGTAAAAAAATTTTTCAAATAAATTTAACTAATATATGTTTAAGTATATATAGCGTTTTCAACCATTAGAGTCTGCGTTTACCTCAAAGATCTTATCTACTATTTGCTTTAGAACTTATAAAGCGGAACTTTACTACTTATTTATGTTTCAGGGTGCAAACGAAGACGCGGGTCGTATTGGCCTCGTGATCGTAGTAGCTGGAATGCTGGGATCCTTAGTATGTGGAATTTTCATTGATAAGACTCATCGGTTTAAGGAGACAACGCTAACTGTTTATGCAGCTTCAGCCGTGGGCATGCTTATTTTCACGTTTACTCTCGACTGTGGGTACATTGGTGTAGTGTACTTTAGTAGTATTTTTTTGGGGTAAGTTGTACTTTAACTCCATAAAAGGTTTAGAGAATAAATATGATATTTAGCCATAAACAACAATTCAGAATCTGTAGCCGTAGTGTTTATGTTTTACGACTTTACCATCTCTGAATAAGTAGAGAATCGGATTTTGATAGACGACTTTATAGTAGTGGACTTAAGTTCTAGAATCAAGTAGAAATATAAAGATCTAAATAAAACACTTTAACGGTTTAAAACGCCATATATTACTTAAACTATTTGAAAATGATTTTTAACTTCGGCCCGACGTTTCGGATGCTTTGCAGCAGCCGTGGTCACGGGGAGACTAAAGATGGAGGATGTCTCTGACGTCAAAGTAAAAAATTGCTACACTAGCGTCATCTGTTCCGTCGAAGTTTGTATTTGGCGAAACTGGCCGGGTCCTTACAGAATTGACTAACGGTGTCTTCGCGTTTGCCGGTATGCTGTTTATTGGGATCCAGAGTTTTTAAAGGGGGGTGTTTGATAATTTGAGGCCGTCCTCCCTATTGAAATTTCGGTGTTTTTTGATTTCAATTGCTTCGCGTACCAACCTTGGAAAAAAAATCGACTCGAATAAGACCTGCTTGACATGCTGTAACTCCTCATTTAAGTAGGCAGCATCACAGAGACGGCGGGCTCTCGGAAACAAAGATACTCCGACAGAACTAAGTTGGCTGGGGTGGTGATGTGAGTCACCGTTCAATCAACCTTTAAAGTGTTTTATTTAAATTTTCTTCGCTACTAAACTAAGACAGTATTTAATTTAAAGATATTAAATTTATTAACAAACAGTATATATATACATAAAATTAAATAATTCGGAACCAAAATAAGTTTACAGCTCACCTTATCAAGACGTTGTATGGTGGGAGTATTTCACTTCTTTTTTTTTCACTCCTTCGTGTAAACCCCATGCTGTCTGTCCTTCTCGTTTATAAAAAAGGTTTCTAAAACGTAATTACAGGTTCTTCATGACCGGTTACTTGCCAGTTGGGTTTGAGTTTGCATCTGAAGTCACTTATCCGGAGCCGGAAGGAACAACTTCTGGCTTGCTAAATGCCGGTTCACAGGTATAAATATGTACATTATAAATCAATCTAAATTGAAAAGAATAGGTTACATAGGTGGGATTTAAATCCAGGACCACACAAATTCACGTAAGCAGTTTTGCTTTACTATTTGAGTTATAGTGTTCCGTCCATGAATTAAATGTTGAATTTTCTAATATCTAAATAAATTTATAATTATTTTCCCATAATAATAAAGCTAAAAGAAAAGTAAGCTAAGCCTATTCACGTGTAATATCTCACGATCTTACGGCGAAGCGTTGAGAACACATTGGAATAACGACGGCCTAACAGGTCGAAAACCCAAGCTTTCGCTAAGATAATAGAATATAAAAAGTCCTTAGATAAAACTTAGTGCGTGTTATATAAAACATTTGTTTTACAGGTTTTCGGGATTATATTAACCCTTCTTTTCGAGTGGTTACTGGGCAAATTCGGTGATCGCTGGGCCAATTTGTCCATGTTCATATTGCTCGCAGTGGGCACCGTAATTACAGCGGTCATCAAGTCTGATTTGCGACGGCAGGCAGCGGAAAAGAAAACTTGAACTTATTTTTTGATGATAAGTTTTTCTAATATTATATAAGAGATACTTAAAAAATGTGAAAATTAATTATGGTTTTATATACTCGTATTAAAATTGTACAATACTGCATGACATTTGTGATAAAAGATTACATTATAGACTTTGAAAACCCGAATTTCAGTTATGTCATTCAAATATTTAGGTACAAAATCGGTTAGGAAAGTATATAAATATTCACGATTCAGGAATAGTACTTAGTACCTATTGTTTTTAAACTGAGATAACACCAATATTTAAACTAACAATAAAATGTATATACCAACAAATTACTTGAAGTTTCTTTGTTAATGCAATAAGTTGATGAATGAACCTAATCAAAAAGAATACCTATACTTTAATTAATCCACGCAGACACGTTGAATTTATGATCAGATATATTTTAAACAATATCTACAGATGTTTACAGTATAAGTGTAAAAATTAGTATAATGTTATAATACCCACTCAGCTATTGAATAACATACATTGTTGTTTTTTTCGGAAAAGGTTTTTTCATAAATATAGTTATGTATTATAAAATATGAAGTGTTACGTTAAAAAATTACAGCTGACATAATTTATCTTGACTTTGACGTAGAATATTTAAATAGGTCAATTGTCATTTTGAAATTGTTGTTGTTGCTATGGCGGCAGATTCAGATTTTACAAAACAACAATGATATAATAATGTAGACTAGATTAAGCAAATTATTAGTGGTTTAATATTTATTAACCTATTTATTATGTTACTATTATTGTTCTGGAGTACGTAGGTAACTAACGTTTTCACGAAATGTAAAAAAAAATATATACGTCCATCATTTGTGGTGTAATGCTTCGTTTAATATTAAGTCAACAAGTAGTTTTACAAAGAAAAATGAATGATAAGAAAGAAAATTGTACTGATATATGTAAAATGCACTCATCCAGGATAGAGCGAGGCGAGTAAATCCACTGTTAAACCAGAAAAATGTTGGTATAAAAAATAATTGGTTTTATACAGTATTTTACTTTTAACAGATTTATACAAAGTTTGTCCATCAAAATTGAGTAAGAGAGAATTGGAGGATATGTACTTTGCACTGGTTGGGAATAATATTGAGTTAAAGAAGACTGTAAATGGGCAGAAAGAACAAATCAAACTCTTGAATACTAAAGTGCAGAGAATGTTAACCCAAAGACCGGCCAATAACCGTGACATGAAAGAATGCTGCACCCATAATAGAGCTATTATTAATGATCAGAAAGAAATGTTAGTATGTTATTTGTAAAACTAAAGAAAAAGTAATATATTATATTAAAAAGTGCAATATTTCTTAAAGCATTTTTATGTGTTAATAAAAAGTAACTAGAATATCTTAATGGTTCCAGGATAGCAGACTTAAAACGAACTAATGACCGCTTAACAGAGAGAATCCGTATACTTAACATGAGACTATGCTCTGCCAAACAGTTCCTTAAAAAGGGTGTTCTCCCAGGATGTGCAAGATGTTCTAATTGTTCCAGCGGTATGCCTGTTTCTAATAAGTGAGTTTTTGTCATCCTTCGTATTCACACTATTTTATGCCTTTTGTGTAAATTATATCATAAGTTATTATTTAGGGCATTTCTTGTCTAATTATAGTTATTATCAAGATATTACATTCTAGTTTGGTCTAAACAGAACAATCTCATTAATTTTGATGTGCTTGTTGGTGTAAGGTAGCAATTTATGTCTAATACGGCACGAACCCCACCAAGTCTAACATTTTTCTAATCAATTTATAATGTTTCTGAAACATGTTGGACTTTATCTGGAAATCTGGGTATTAAACGGGTGGAAAAAATATCGAAATTCCGTCCGGGTCATGAACCACCATCCACACATGAAAACTCAGGCAAGTTTAACCCCATTTCGTTGTCACTCTGTAGATTTCCGAATATTTACAGCCAAAGTATCTTATCTATAGTCCTCAGTCATAAAGAAAATATTTTATTAATTTATTTGCAGAAATTCTTCAAGTGCTCTTAACATAAAAACTATTGATGACAACATTGTGAAATCAGCAACTGCTTCATGCCAGTATCTTGCAAAGTAGGTACTTATTAAATATAGTGGTGTGTGTGAAATTCCTTTCTCCTTGTCTTTGTCTGTTTTGCTCATATTTGCTTGACTTCTGTTCTCTGCTCCACCAAAATTAGTATCTTCTCTTGAATCCCAAATTTTTACATACAAATCTTGGCAATATGTTTTTTCTAGGCCTCTTGTGATACAGTAGTAGCATAAAGTTTGTACATCATCATGGCTCTTGCGAATTGGTCTCATTATCTTAATATTGGTTTCAGTGAAATGACACCAGTTTCTTTGCCGATTCAAGAAACTTCTAGAAAAGAACAGTAGGTACTTATATTTAATTAAGATAATATGTACATTTAATTTGCTTTCTTAAGTTTTAATATATAGTGGCTGTTTCTAAAAAGTTTTTGGATTTTTCTCAGTTTAATTACTTAATATACTTTTTCTCAAAAGGCAGATGGAAGATTCCTGTGATCAGAAAACATGTCGGTCAATCATAGAGGAGTTGAAAGACAAAACCATTAGTTTACAACAGGTAATTTCAGATGGTTTAATTTCGGATACTTTGCAGCAGCCGTGGTTTCCCCGTGACCACGGCATCCGAAACGTCGGGCCGAAGTTAAAAATCATTTTCAAGTTAGTTAAACTAAAATATCGCGTTTTAAAACCTTTAAAGTGTTTTATTTAAATGTGTTAAGCTATTAATACTACGACGACGTCGACGCGTCCCGTCGTTCTTGCAAGTTTATCTTAATAGATATACATATAGTATCGTTGATATTTTTTTAGATCATTTAAAGAGGAATCATTTTTTGAATTTTTTCGGAACTGTTTTCGCAGCGTACGCAACGGAAGCCAACATAGATGAATAATTTTCCCCGCTTTCTCCGCATTTCCCGCTGTTTTTTCGTTCTTATAAGGCGCGAGGCGATGTTATATAGTCTTCCTATAAATGCTCTTACCAACACAAAAAGATTTATTTAATTCCCATCTATAGTTTCTGAGGTTAGAGCGTTCAAACATACAAACTCTTCAGCTTTATATATTAGTATGGATAATATGGAATTTTACTAATTTTCTTTCAGGAGTTGTCACAAACGCATGATGAATATATTTCTCGTATTAAGCGTTTAGAAGAAGAAGTTTCACGACTTAATCAAGAGAATTTACGTGTTAGGACTGTTTCAACTTCTAGCGAGAACCGTATGGAGCAACAGAAGGGAGAAATTTTAGATCTGTTGCAAAAGCTAAGGAAGTGCGAAGCTCAGTGTGGTAAATCCTTTATCTTCTTTTCTCCTATATGGTCTTTTTGATTGTGTCATTGAACCAATAATAAACGGTTTGTTGGTTCGATTCTATATGTTTAAAAAGGAAATTCTGTACTAATATATAAAGCTGAAGAGCTTGTTTGTTTGTGTGTTTGAACGCGCTAATCTCAGGAGCTGGTGCGAATTGAAATTTTTATTGTGTTGGTTGGAGGACTTATCTAGTACGGCTATAAAACATCCCTCTGTGAATACGAGCGAAGATACAGCTTAACGTAAACGTTGAAAAAAATTGGGAAAATTATTCATTAGTATGAGTTTCCGAGGCGTGAGCTGCAACGACGGTTCAAGATACCCAAAAAAATATCTATGAAACAAAGATTCCTCTTCAAAATATAAAATAAATGTCGTGACACTATATGTGTATATCTGTTAAGATCCATTTGCAAGAACGACGGGACGCAGCTGACGTCGAGGGTGCAGTTTGTATCAATAAATTTAATCTCTGTTTAGAGAGTAAAGGACCTATAGTCATATGTTATATATACGTATCTTTTTTTAAGAACAACTCGCGGTTCAGTTGAAAATAGAGAAAAGCCGCGCTGCTGAACTAGAAATGCGCGCTAAGGCCGCCGATATGTCGTCGGACATCGCAAATGCGATTGAAAAACATTTAGCTAATATAAATGTGAGTTATTAGTATGATTAATAACTTAACAATATTGTATTATACTATTGTTCGACACAATATTGAGCACTTATAAAATTTTGACTGTTTAGGTAAAAAAAGACGAACAAGAAAAACCCATAGATAAAGAAGCGTCTGCGCATAGCTTTTCTAATGCTGACAATAGCTCTATGGCAAGTATTAATGATAGTTCAAAGTCAGATATAATTTCTTAAATAACGACTGTTGGCTGTATGACTTTGTATTCTGATTGTTTTTCAGTACCATTGTCAGTTTCAACTGATCGTCCCGAATAACTCCGTGGCTTCTCAAACAGATAAATCCGATATCAGTTCTGAGAGAACTACCAGGACTTCTGATGACTCAGGCTACACTGACACTAACAGGAGTAGCGCATCATGTGAAGTTAGTAAACTATTACTTAATATGAGTCCCACGGTAAGACAGCCCTTTTGGGATGGCAAACAAAATCAAATTATACGTAAATTTTTATTTATTCCAATATATTGACCCGCTTACATCACAAGGATATGCTTTGCAGCCTTTCCCAGATAAATAAGCTATTCGGCTTTATCATACAAATAATAGGTAGGACTAATATGAACAATTACCAGTTCAGCGAAACCAAAATAACATACTAACTCAACAGCATTTTAATAATAATGTAAAGAAATATCTTGTTGTTATCTTGTGGCCTAATTTCAATAAAAAGAGACAAAATATTTTTAAGGAATCTCCCAAGAAGGATATCATTGTTATGAATAAGATTGCCGAACTTCAAGCTCAGCTTGACAACTTAAAGCAATCGGTAGTAAGTATTATTCTCAAATATTATAATAAAAATATGTATGATTCTATAACACGCATACTTAAACAATTTTAAATTCAGACCGAAAACTGTGAGGAATATGACGAAAATGACCAAAGGAGGAAATCTCGCTTACAAAGAAAACCTGTTCCATCTAGTAGTAAAGATAACGAAGCCGTCAATTGGTAAGAGCTAATCAATTACTATAAATAGATTAATTGTAAACGTTATATTCTCAACATAATTATAGAGTAGATCATTCTTATTATAGCCTCCCGCCACCAATGCCGGGTGATTCTGATTATTTAATCCGAACGAATCGCTTAAATTCTTCTAAAAGCACACACGAATGGTGTAAAGAATACGAAAAGAGCGACGCAGACTCATCTATCGCTGAATATGGTAATGGTATAAAAGAAAAAGATGGACAAAATTCGAAACTCAACAATAGAAAATTAAGTATTATGGACAATTCAGAACAAGATTACAATAATATTCCAGATAGTGCTAAACCATACGCACAAAAACGTGGAACAATTTGTGCGCCCAACATATTAAACAATGTACCCACACTCGATCTTAGAAACATTAATGAAACAAAGGAAATTAGTAAAACGTATAGAAAAACTAGTTCTCTAGATGGAATTGATCAAACGCCAAGTAAAGTAATTGCCAATCTAAACGTTAGTGAATCTAACGACAGTTTTAACTTTACTAAAGAAACGATCACTAAAGTCGATGGAGTATTGATCACGGAATCAATACATCAAATTGACAGTGAATCTAGTGTGGATGTAAATGTTGATAACCCTCTACCCAGAGACGCTATTGAATCGAATAATTATATAGCTGATAATTTATCCGATGTTATTAAGAAAACTGTAACAACTACAACCAACAATGATCCAAAACCATTTTTAGAGCAAAAAACCGTATCGACTAATACTGGTCCGTTAGATGCCTTAAAAGACACGCCACAGACAGATAAATTTAAAGATGCTTTTTCTTTCACGGATGAAGCAAATCCATTAGTATTGCTGGAAAACAATCGATTGGGTAAGAACTATAAAAAATCTATATATGTACTACACATTCTTAGGTTCGTGTTCGTATTAACATATGACATCTAATATTATTTACATGTTATCGCACATGGTGGTATTATATAAATTAAATTCAAATATTTTTTTATTAACATACATCTCTTTGCATCAGCACTGTGACAAGCCTTAATGCTCCCACTTCATCAAATTACAGGTATTTACACTTATTATTTACTTATGACTCCTATAAGTGTGTTGTTTTTGTTATACCTTTAATGATGCAAAGAGGAGAACTGTTCTTTTTTTATAATACATTTTCTTTTTATATATTTTCGTTTATTTTTATTTTTATTTATGTTCGATTACTGTTTTTCCTAATTGTTGTTTGTATTTTTTTATACTTAGATATTTGTGAACAATCAGTTCGTGTGTGCACTTGTCCTATATCGTCACGACGTGCTATGTCAATGTTCCGGTCTTGCAGCGGCACATTGCGCTTCACAACCACAGCCTCCAAAAGCAAATTTCGAAAATGTAGCTGTGGTGATAATCGCGTCCCTTGTGCTACTCGAGAGTTGGAAGGTTAGTTCTGCTTCGGCAAAAGCGTAGGTATATAAATTCCAAGTCTATAAAAGGTTTTACTTAGACCTACATCTAGCGGGAGCCGTCGTTGTTTTTTAGTTCAGTTATTTCTTGACAAATTGTCAAAAACATCTCTAAGCAGTATGGAAAAAATAGTGGGAACTATGAACCTAATTACATTACACTCATACATATTATTTATTTGCGACTGTTACTTAAGTCAACGTATACTTTTTTCCTGAAATATACCTTAATAATTTATAAAATTTACAAGTCAAAATATTTCTTATCATACTATTTAATGACATTCCCTAAAACTATAATTTATTTTTTAATGTGATGTACTTTGTTTGAATGATAAACCTAATTTAAATCGCTATCATTATTTATTGTATTTAATCATATATTTACGTCAAAATTATTGCGTCAGATGTTCACAACTCCGGCACATACAACATCAACCGCACATCAACACCTATACGAGGAACCTATGTATTGCAAGGTGAAGCAACAGTGGATGTGATGTCGCCAGAGAACACCCATCGTGAGATGTCGTCGCTTTCTGATCTACCTACGGAAAGAGAAAGTAAGTTTGAAAACTATATTATTGCACATGAAGACACTATATAATTTAAAAAGCGAAAATAAATTGAAAAAATTTTCGACTCGAGCAGGACTTGAACTGGCATCGTCAGCGTTCCGTGCTGTTGCTCTACCGCCCTACTCTTGTTTTAGTTTCCTGTGCGTATACGTCGCCAGGTGAAGATAAAGCTACTTGTACGCAAAGCGATGACACTCCCCGGTCTACGACGGATTACGGATCGTTGAGTGAAGGAGAATTGCCTATAACTGAACGTTTGTATTTAGCTTATTAGTCAGTTGTATTAACGTTGCATTTAAACAAAGATACATACATACAAGTAGTCTACATTTAAATAAAACACCTCTAATGCTTCAAAACGCGATATTTGTTAGTTTAGCTTAGTCATTTTTTACTACAGCCCGACCGCACTTTTTGCGGCATTATCAGACTTTGCATTTCACGTTTTGAACCGTTAAAAGTGTTTTATGTAAATATATGTTTTCTTCTTACTCATTCGAGATTCCTCAAAATTGTGAGATAAATATTGATGATGATTATTTTCAGGTCGAAAGCAATCAGTCGGTGAAACAGAATCTCTCAGCAAGGATATTAGTTTACGACGGTTAGTTTGGCACTTAACAAACTGAGTGAATAATTATTTTATGAATATTATTTATCTTTTTCTTTTAACTTAAAACGAACATATTAGATTATATATAATACGTTACTAACGCATAAATTGTGAAGCGATTTAGCTGCGCCAGCGACTCCGTCCGTCGTAAAATAGTTATTTTAGTCATCAAAATTTGTTTTTGCAAACCTCCAATTTTTTTGAAATTTTTTTAGATAATTTAAAGATACCCAAAAAATATGTAGAAAAGAATTTTACCTTCATACATATTTTTTAGGGATCTGAAACCTTGTTCGCAATGCACGCAACGGAAAACCTCGCGAAAAGATCGCCCATTTTTTTTTTACATTTCCCACTGTTTCTTCGCTCCTATTGGTCGCAGCCTAATATTTTTTGACTATGAATCTTATTAACAACACAAAAATAATGTTTAATACAAACCAGTAGTTCCTGATATTAGCGTTTATAGTAGGTTTATAATATATGATAACGACATATTTAAAGTAGCTATTTTTATAGTAGTAACACATCGACTTCAGAAAAAATGGAGGAGACTCTAAAGGCGATTAGTCAAGAGTTGGCGAAATGTAGACATTTACTCCAGGTGCACACATCGCACGAGGTATCGCGGTATTATTAAAATATTTTTCCATATTATGTAAGTTAAAAGATCAGAATAAATATTGTACATATATATATTTGTATACAGAGTAATGTAGTTTTATTGTACCTAAGGTTTTGGGCAGTGTTATTTTCATCGTATGTAATCGATCAATTGTTTTTTTTATTTATTTAAGAAACATAGGGTAACAACTTCCGGCGTAATGATTACAGAAATCAAAATATTTCATAAAAGTACTTCAGTACTGTATCCGTGGTATAATATACAATCTTAGTGCTTGACTTCTAACTGACTGAAACATGGCAAGAACAAAATTAAGCCCAATGTTAAAATATTTTTTTATAACATTAGTTGTTAATTGCTTTCAATATAACTATAGACCATGGGTGTAATGTCTCAAGATGCCTCTTGTATGACGGAGAAACGAAATCAAAACGGCTGTTCGAAGGGCAGGGTTCCCATGGATCGTAAAAGCAGTATAGATCCACCAATAGAGCCAGCGGCCCGCAACAGCAGTGTCCCGCTCCGTAAATGTGATGCAAACCCACGAGTTGGTGGTACATCACCAAAGTGTGTCTTCACCTTACACGTTGGGACTGTTATTTTAGCTGATGAGGTTCGATTTCAATTTCTCATTAGACTAGATTAGACTTGCATTAATAGTAATAAAAAATGTGAACTAAATTAAGCAAGTTTTAATTTTATTCAATGGATAAACGTAGCCTGGGTCAGGGTTTTGCTCCGGTTCTTTGCTTTGGTTCTGGATTTTTTTTGAGTAACTTAGCAATATCCTCCGTAACAATGTTTGACGTCCGTTGGTGTTTTAAAAGGTAGCTATATATAATCGGGCGAATGACTACAGGGTCGTGCGTTCAATTCCCGACAGATCTTGTTTTTATTATTCATCAAATTAATTATATTGTGCACTATACTTGTGAGAAAATTATTTCCCACAGTTAAAGGAAATATTTTGTAAACAAAATAAATAGCGTTAAAGACGTTGAATTTTTGTTGAATAAGTTAGTATTAGTGAATGGTTCTATGAAGCAGTGATTTTTTTACAGGCAGTAATAAATTCACGGAGCAAGTCTCTAGCGCTTACGTGGCGTTTCTATAACCAACCTCCGACCATGACGCACCAGCTGGCCGGACGAGTAATGCACTTTGATTTTTCACTTGAGTACGACATACGACTAACTCAGCATTTTCTTGATTATCTGAAACATGTTAGTACATCTTGTTAACTAATTTATATGTTGTAAGGTATTAGATACGAAACGTCAAGATTTTTTCAATGTAGTACGTAGTACGCGTAATTATACGTATTCATAGCAAAATAAGTTTTTTAAAATATATTCTAACATAGCAAGGAAACTAACCAGAATAGAAGTATTTAAATAAAACACTTTAACGGTTTAAAACGCGATATATTAGTTAAACTTATTTGGAAATGATTTTTAACTTCGACCCGACGTTTCGGATGCTTTGCAGCAGCCGTGGTCACGGGGAGACATAGAAGTAGTTTAAGGTACCAAAACTTGCTTTTGTCTAGTCAATACTTAAAACTAGCTAAATTGTAGTCTATATGGGACGTCTAACTTATTATCTATATTAATATATAAAGCTGAAGAGTTTGTTTGAACGCGCTAATCTCACAAACTGTTGGTTCGAATTCGATTCGAAGAAACAGAGAGAAATATATAGAAAATGGGAAAAAATATTCATTTGTGGGTTCCCGTTGCATGGGCTGCGATAACGGTTCGATACTCAAATAATTATGTAAAAAAGAATGATTCCTCTTTAAATCATGGTACATGTCTTTTAAAATTAACTTGCAAGAATGACGGGACGCGGACAAGACGTTGTGGGTAATAGCTGTAATTTATAAAGATTTTGCAAAAACCAGTCTTGATGTCCAAAATTACTATTCTACGCGGGCAAAGTCGCTGATACAGTTTTTAATAGATTCTATGTTTTAGTATTGTGTATTATTATCATAACTCTTTTGATTGTTATATTCCTAAAATAGAAAGAAATGCCAATAATCGTCTGCGAGATCAACAAACAAGAGACACCTTTTGCGAGCTGTTCTTTGCCGTTACGTGACGCGTTATTGCATACTAACAGAAGAGTCGATATGTCTTTAGCTTTGGTAATAACTTTACTTAATACAATTTGTAAGAAAATGACAGGCTATGTATGGCTAGAAAAACTTTGAATCCATTGATTTTAAACAATGTATACTTTTTCTAAAACATGTTGGATCTCTGGAAATCTGGATAGTAGGAATATCGAAATTCCGACCAGGTCACGAACTATCGTCTACAGATTTAAGCAGCGAAGTTAATTCGCGTTTCGTTTTCAGTCCGTGGATTTACGTATATCGAAAGCAAAAATAGGACCTGAAAACTTATTTAATGATGTTACCATAGATAGATCTTAGGATCACATTGTTAACGTATCGAATGTATATAGATTGCCGGTTCTGGAATAAAACAAAAGGATACTTCGTTAACTAATTTCGATGTGAGCAAAGAAATAGGAGTTTTGGATGTCTGGTGTATGCTCCGTGTTCCAAGTCATATGATGGGTGTTATAAATGATGTTATATCACAGGTAAGTTGCAATATTTTAATATAGCGTTTTTATTTTCAAGTTACATAGTACCACAACAAATATGGCAGATTTCAACCATAGAGAACTAGTGACGCTCTTTTATAGAGTGTAGTTGTTGCCACAGATGACACAGGGTTAAAGAAATATCAATTATGTGGACCAAACAACCTCAATATTCAAAATCACATGTATGACTTTTTTTAATTTGATGTCATTATTATTTAACTCGGCGTATGTAACGCTTTTCAGCGATTGTGCATTAGTGGGAATTCTACCTTCTATTGTCACTGACTTTGCTTACTTCCACTCTTATGTAAATGTCAAACTAAAGAAATTTTAATTTGTGCATTTGCCTAAATTAATTTTTAATATTTTTATAAATTTTAGCATGACATTGTGGTTTTTACTAAGTGAATTGAGTCAGTTCATTAGTTCAATATATAATAATGTCTCAAAGTGGTTTTAAATGTGTTGAAAATCACGATTTCATGTAAATTGTGTGTCTGTTTACCAAAAATGCCGAGTAAGAAAAATACACTATAAATCTATTTCGTTTTTAGTATATAGTATTTATGCGCAAGAGTTTCGCAGATCTTATGTGTATAAAATATAAGTAAGATTCTTTCGATTGTTGTGTGATTTGTTTTGTACTAATACAGACTATCGCAAGTTTCCACCATAACGCGTCATCCCTGGAGAGAATAGTTGATGACGACCAGACGGATTTCCGTCTAGGTCAAGATCTTGACATGCGTAGGACCAGTAAATCAGCACAGGCTGAAATAGTAGGTTTTATTACGGTTTACCTTTTATTACTTTCTTATCACACATTAGTCCTGTTTTTGAGCCTGATTTATAGATTTTTTCAATCTGCTTAAAATCTATTTTACATAAAACTGAATGTTTGCAGAAAAATTCATACGATTCCGAGAACATTTATGATATAATGAACTCTAAAAAATGGCGAAGAGCAAGTATGTACTATATTTATAATTATATTTACTAAACATGGCTATATTCAAAGAGATTTTCATTCATTCATTTATAACGTGTTAACAAAAGTAACTTATTAAAATAATAGTTTTTGCGCTTGAACTAGTAATCTATACACTACATACGAGTTACTTTCGCATTTATTATATTAGTATAGACTAATATAATAAATGTCTCTGTCTGTATGTCTGTCTATCCGGCTTCAACTCCGAAACTACTGAACTGATTTAAGTGAAATTTGGTACACAGATATTTTAGAGCCTGAGTACTTAAAAAGTATTTGCCTATATCCTTTATATAGGCAAATACTTTTTAAAT